GGCCATCACTGTAACTAAAGCGATTTAGTTTCGCTTTTAGGTGCGACGGAAGGGTACCCTTTCGTCCACCAATATGATCCAACAGCAGGCGACAATGTTCGTCCTGAATGTAACACTCCTTGATATCGGAGGCCATTGAGCTCGTCACATGGTAGGCCTTCATGGCTGCCAATGTTGACGACTCAACTTGTGCTTTCGCACGAGACACACTATCCTGGTGTCTTGCTTCGAAGTCTGGTCTGCGCGATAACGCGTCAGCCAAGACATTCGACTTACCCGGCTTATATTCAACTTTGAAATTAAATTCAGAGAAGAATCTTAGCCATCTCGCCATTCTCGGCGAGAGGTGCGGTGAATTTATAGCGGTCCGCAGTGATGCGTGATCCGTAGAAACCACAAAAGGTTCGGTGCCCAAGAGGTGCACCCGAAACTTCACAAGGGCATACTTAATTGAAAGTAGCTCCTTGTCATGCACAGGGTAATTCAGCTCGGCAGCTTTTAAAAGCCGAGACTGATAAGAAATGACACGGTCAACGCCGTTGTCATCCATCTGCATGAGCGCGCTGCCGATGGCAAAATTGCTTGCATCGCAGACGACGCTAAAGGGCTTATCCGCGTCTGGCAATGCCAAGACCGGTGCCTCTACAAGAGATTGCTTCACTGATGGGAACGCATCTTCTTGTTCCTTTGACCAAGTCCATTCTGTATCCTTTTTTAAAAGGTCAGACAATGGCTTGGTCTGCTCCGCATAATTCTTGCTGTATTTATGCAAGTAATTAGCGAGCCCAAGGAATTGGCGCAGATCCTTCACATGACAGCCTTTACCTTTTCTGAGTCTGCTCGTACACCATGTGCACCTACGATGCAGCCCAGTACAGGTATCTCGGGGACCCCTATTACGCACTTTTGCAAGTTCACGTATAATTGGGCGTCACCCAGAGTCTGCAACACAGCGTCTAAATGACGCTTGTGCGACTCTATCGCGCTCAGACCGTCCTCCGCTCTACTATGCACGAATACATCGTCAAAGTAATGGGGTGCGTAGGCACGGTGCTGACGCATCACGTGAGCCACTACTCGGTTGAATGTTGCCGGAGCATTTTTCAACCCTTGTGGCATCACAAGCCACTCCCACAGCATACCGCTTGGGGTGCTTACTGCCGTTTTGGCTACATCGGTATCTCTCATGAGAACCTGATAGTATCCATCCTTTAGATCCAACGCGGAAAAGATAGTTGACTTTCCCATGGAATTCAACAAAACATCTTTCCGCGGGCGGCATTTGAGCCGGAATGGTGGCCGTGTTCAGCTTATTATAAGCATGAACCACGCGCCATCCACCTGTTGCTTTACGCACACAGAAGGTCGGGCTGCAGTGAGGCGACTTGCTCTCACGTACATGTCCCGCCTTGGCTCGCTTGTCGAAGAACTCATCGATGTAATCGACTTGTTCCTTCGGCAAAGCCATTTCCTGGTCACACAATACTTGGTGCCAGGCTCCAGGTCAATCTCGTGCCTAATACCCCTATCGGCCGGTAGGCGGCTCGGCACTTCTGCTGGAAACACATCACGGTGTTTCCACAGAACATCATAGAATGGGCTGTCCTTCAAGGCATCCCAGCCTTGAGCAGCGAACCGTTTCTTTTTGTCGGTCTCCAAGACGCTCTCATCCATTGTGGATGAAGAGCAACAGTCCACCACGTTCTCTTCTGGAACTGGTGCGACTATCTCGTGGATCTTTCCTTCCTTTAGTTCGGACAGGAACATATCCCACGTCATCTCCGAGAGATTTACTATCTCTTCGGCAGATGCCAAGACAAGTTGGAGCACCTCAACTGAGGATGCCTCCGGCATTTTGTCTTCGACGGCCTCGAACAACTCGTTCGTAGGTCCGTCCTCTTGGACCGAGACTGATCCAAGGGTCACTCGTTTCGACGTGCCCTTGATCGTCTTAATACGTCTGGTGCTCGTTCTTCGAGTCACCACGACTTTTGACCTGGAAGAAAGTGTCGTTGCTGTATTAGCCAACGCACTTCTTCCAACCGCACCAGGCTCTTGGCTCTGTGCCGGTTCTTGTGGCGCTTGACTTCCTGTCAGCCCACCATCAACTGCCACAGGCTCTCGGCTCTGTGCAGGACTATTGGACGCATGACTACCTGTCATCGCCCCATTCACTATACCAGTCTTTTCGACCTGGGTAGGAATATATGTCACCTGGCTTTCCGCCAGTGCACTCACAACTACACCACTCCTTTCGAGCTGGGTAGTTCCTGGTGTCGATTGACATACCGTCATCGCACCCTCGACTGTGTTGGACACAGCATCAGCCACATAAGCCTCTCGCAAGAGCACATCCTTTCCGGTGTCTTGCGTAGAGCTAGCGACTGTGCGTGTACGCCAGTCTATCCATGGTTGGTGTTTAGCCAACCAAGGCATGCCTAGGATGAGGTCATACGGACTCTCCATACCTAGCACTGTGAACTTCTCTTTACAGGAGAAGTCACTGAAACTGAAGGCGAGTTCAACTTGAACTCCCTCCGATTTAACGAGAGCGCCGTTCGCTAAACGAACGATCGCCTCTTCTCGCTTGCCATCCTGGCAAAGAGACTCATAACTCGCCGGTCTCCTTTTCAGAGCCGCGAGTTTCACAAAGTTTTGTGATGCACCCGAATCCATGAGAAGGGTCATAGCCTCGTACTCGAGCGCTATAGACCAAAAGGGTTGAGGTCCGACCTTTCGGAACCTCAGGGACTATGCTACCCATTTGTTCGATCACTCTGAACTTAGGGGTAGCTTCAGAGTCCGCGACAGTAGGGCATCCCGCCCCTACTGCGCTCCCGCATTTCCCGACCCATCTTGGGCAGGTGCTGAACCCGTGCGTCGTGCACGCTTGTTCTTTGCACCTCCCTTCGGGTTGGGAGACCTTTTGCTGGCTGCCTTAGCACCAGCAGCTACCTTGGCGTAGCAGCGAGCCATCATATGGCCTCGCTTGCCACACTTGTAGCAGATCACATCTGCATTGCCTAACTCCATAGGAGTGGCATCAGACCTCTCGGACGACGGCCTGTAATAGGCTGTCGCCGAGGCGCTGTTGTAGGATTGCTCCTCAACTAAGGCAATGTCAATTGCCTCTTCCATCGTCGCTGGCACCTTTCTGAAAAGGGCCTGACGCGATGGGCCATGCCTAAGTCCATTCATGAACGTGGCTACCTTGATCGGTTCCCCATTGATGGACGCCGACAGCGAACGCATCTCCTGCACAAACTCTTGCAGAGAGCGTTTCGCCTGTCGTGCTCCAAAGAAGCGCGCCATAAGCAACACTTCGTTGTTAGGCGGCTGATACATGGCGCGAATCTTTGCCTTAAAGATCGCCCATGATGGAAATGCATCAGCATTAGCCATCAGCGCAGAGTATGCCCACTCTGACGCTTTGCCACATGGCATACGACACCATTCTGGTGTCGTCTTCGATGAGCTGCGCCACTCCACATTGCTCCACTGCTAACAGCCAGTGAACAATCGTGTGAGGGCTAGTTCCATCGAACTTCGGAGGGTCCATCCGAATGGGCCTCGATTGAGCAGGCCGGGCAGAGAGCGTCTCAACAGTCCTGTTGAGCGCCTCATTATGTGCCTGCTCAAGCCTAAGCTCATCCTGAGTCTTAGTGATGGACTCAGCGGTGGCTTGGCTGTTTACCTCGGACGCGTTTCTACGCTGTCCGAGCACAAACGCCTCAAATTGCTCCAACTGAGCAACATGTTGCTCAGGAGGGCAATGCAAGAGATTGACCAAGGCTTGTTCACTAAGCCCCTGCGCCATATGCTCTGCCAACTCCCTATGATGTTGGGAGAGGTGAGGGAAGTCACTCCAGTCCATATTAAGGACCATCTTAACCACACGCACGCTCAGAGAGACGGGTCGTGGGAAGGACTACGAGTGCTACCAAGTGTAGACGGGCACTTCTACGAAGTTGCCTCGTACTACGAGCACACACCTTATGCACAAGCGAGGAAGCGGTTAGACCGTCTTACCTTCGCGTGCGAGGTGGTTGGGAGGTTGGTCGACTGCTTAAGAAGTCGTACCACCAGTTGCCTCTCGCTTAAGCGAGAGTGCAACGAACTTCTTAACAAGAAGGCACCGACGTCACGCAGAAGCTTTTCAGCTTCTCGTGCATGGTGCGTTTGTTTAAGTAAATTCAAGACTGAGCTATATTTAATGAATTATAACTAAATATATATTTAACTACTGATTGGCTATATATATATATATATATATAGAGATCGGATACGCGACTCTTTAGAAGCGTATCCTGTCGCATGAACTTAAATCTAGATTTAAGATCGCAACTGACGTCCTTCTGAGACGTCGTGATGCCTAGCTTCAACTAGCGTCATCCCTTCTCATGTGAATCCATCAATGGATATCACATTCACGAGGGTGGATCACATTTGTGTATCGCACCCAAGTGACTGGTCAAATGTAATCATGGATACTTTTAGACCAAACATTAAGTGTATTACTTAATGTTTACGTGTAACTAGATACCCTGTTACACACAGGGTCACGTTCCTTTGTCGGCAAGGGACTAGTTTTCTTTGTCAGCACTTTCGCTTGCCCAATTGAACTTCCCACGTGGGAGACGTAGAGTGTAAATACGTTTATTACCAGTTTTCACAATGCTTCTAAAATGTTTGGTAGTCAGCAACTCTGCATGTTTATTGCGCGGGTAACATGGGTAATTACCCGCGGGTATGAGTCCGAGTCGTGTGTAATGAAATTCGAATAAGTCTGAGTCGTGGGTAAACGCCATTACTTAACCCAGACTCATGGGTACCACCTCTACTGGCAAGGCTGATGATGAGAACCATGCTTCAATATAGCACCAAGACACGTGAAGCATCATTCTTTCTTCTCGCATCACTTGAATGGATATACATGAACTGCAAGAAAGCTTGTAAAAGTACTAGATCTTAGTGTGTCAGTCGCGGACGATACCGTTATACTACCCACAGCGCTGCAATCTACATTCTGCACGCTCCCGTTTCTGTTCTTTTGATTGCCGTCTTTGAGCCGCCTCAATATTCTCGTCGACTAGTCGGCTTAAGATGCTAAGGAAAAGGTTTTCATCTTGCATGTCATCGTCCAGTGCATCATTCAGGACGTCAAACTCGTCCTTGTCGTTTTCGGCACCAATGAAAGACAACATAGGAGATCGAGCAGCACTATGCTCCATCGTGCCCTTGTGGTCATTGGATGGAGCACTTACGGGCATTGCAACTGATGCGGTATTAACCTCCACGCACTGGACAGCATCTGAAAGAGCATGCGATGCCATATCGTCCCACGTAAGCGAAATCCGCGGATCCTTCCATCCGTTATGCCTGTCTTCACTGCTAGACAGAGAATGCTTCGGGCAGTTGCAAGTATTGTCGTCTTCTTCTTCGTCCGAGCTAAATGGAGCATAACTTGCCCAGAATCCGGGTGGAGATTGTGTACCACTAGCAACAGGAGAACGCCCCAAGGAAAACGGTTCTCGGAGGAATGGAGGATCAATTGACACCCGCAATTTCCGGTATGCTGCTCGAGGAGAAGACAATTCATCGATCGAAATGTTTCCATGCCCTCCTTCTGCAACAGCTAATTCGCTTGCCTTAGTCGGTGTCGGTTTGATAGTTGGATGCATGTGGCCGTGGTAAGATAGCGCTACATTTTGCGTGCGCTGCTTGACAGCTCGTAGCTGATGAAACGCATCGATGCACAACTGCTCTAATGTAGAAGGGGAGTCCAGGTCTTCACGACACATGATCCGAGCGATCTCGAACAAAACTAGGTCTGCACGTACTCCCTTCTGCAACACCATACTAGCGATGTTCAAATTGCGTCGACACGCGCGCCGCAACGGGATTCTTTTCGCTAATCGATTTGCGTCCTCCTGAGCTGATAATGATAACACATACGATCGGTCCTCTGCGCTTAGTGGCTGCCGAAGCTGCGGCCAGTTGTACCAGCACCAATCGCACCAGCCGATCTCCAAGAACTGAGGAAGGCAGTAACCGTGGTCAATAGGTATCAATTCATATTCTGCGTGGCCTGTGGTAGGTGACCTCCGCTTGCGCACGAGAATATTCGCATCATTGCGGTCCGTGTTTAAAAGCCGCATGTCTAAGAGCACAATCTTATGAACTTGATGGGTCGAAAATTGGTTTGGTGCTAGATCGCTCACCACGTCATCATGTCGTACAAATTCCTGCAGCGACCCTATTTTAAAATGTAAGGCACCTTTACTACCCGTGTAGTTAAATACAGGATGACGCGACTCCACTAGAGACGTAGCTGGGACTCCAGCAAAGTGATCCTACAAGTCAGCGAAAAAGAAATACACAATTAGTGTAGCTATTCTATAAGCAAGACGCCGGCAAGCTCTTGCGCATGTACACCCGTCCTCAATAACTACTTTTGCGTAAACTCAGTGGTGCTGATACCTTGTCCAGTAAATACGCGGCAAGCTCACGTTCGCAAGCTTCTCCAGAAAGAATTCCTCGACGAAGGCCGCTCTGTTTGTAGCGTTCAGTATTGTAAGGATATGGGATTAGATGGCCATGAAAAACAAAAAATAGCAGTATGCTCTTTATATCCATACAAAGCACAACTTACTTGACCCAACTGACCCACCAATCCGCGTGGATTATTAGGCCCAAATGGCTCCTCGTCTTGGGGCTTAAAGCAACCCACATTGCGGTGAGATGGATCCTTGAAGAAATATGTACCACCGGTACCATCCATTGCCAGCACCGGAGCAAGACCCAAAGCAAGACCTTGTAGTGCCTTTACAAACCAATTCCATACGCGAACGACATATACATCACAACCCAAGCACGACGATCAGCGCTACACAATAAACAGCATACAGCATACCTGGTGCATAACCTTCATGAGAGTTACTGGCAGCAAATGTGCACCATACGGGTGGATATTCACGACAGGCCTCTGTTCCGGTCGCAAATTCGGCAGAGTGTTGCCATTCAATCGGCATGCTGCTGACCTTTTCACACCACTATCTTCACCGCTATTCCTGTCACTGCTTGCATTGCTGTCGTGGTCCTCGTCGTACTCTCGTGTGTACGCCATCATGAGGTTTTGCGGCCTTCTTGCTACAAAGTCAACCACAGCATTATCCTGGTAAATGCCACACTGCTGTAGATTGTGCCCGTTTTTTAACTCTCGTCCCTGATAGAAAAGCTTTTGCGCGTTGGACGGCACGTTAAACACGACGTGCAACTGGTCCTTGATGTCCTTAATGCTTGCCCATGGACGCAGGACGAGCTTTTTGCGGCGCTCGAGCGGGTCTCGAAAATCTTTGACAAATAGCACCACAGCTCCATGTCCACTCTCCAACCAGCCGCCAGGTAGAGAGCGCGACATCTTGGCCTCGTCCCTCTGCATTGTGATACGCGCTAGTCGCTGGGGTTATCGTCTCGACTTAGATCCCGTGGTGAGTAATCCTAATAACTAGACGAGAGGAGAGGGAGACACAGAAAACGCTTGAGGAGCAAAGAAATTGGAAACAAGATGGAGACGCAGACTCAGCGGATTACTTGCATGTTACAACTAAATGGCCGGAGTCTGGCGAAAAAGATGGCTTAATACGATTGGATGAAATTTGTATTTGCCTTGGGGTGCACTTCGCCTTTTAAAAACGTTGGAGTTTTCTATAATTCACATAAGATGTCTTTTTCACTAGGATCGTAAACTAATTTTATTGAAAGAGTCTCGTCGATAGTCCAGTGTATCCACTTGCTATGACACATTTTTTTTAATCGGGGTTATCATTTAATATTTGTCCCATATATAAAGCCATGAAGCAGCGAGTTTATACTGATGGCAAACAAGCTCAAAGGCGTGAAAGTGGAGACGAGTCCGGCCTGATGACGCTCCAGTTGATAGTTTCGGCTCCTCTTCGCTCTCTCTATCCCTTCTCATCAGTCACCGCATTATCGTTCCTTGAAGTGCATCGCCTCGTTCCAGTTCCAACTTTCATCGGCGGTCCAAATGTTGTCGTTACTGTCAACACCTTATTCAGGCCCGCGTTCTGACATGTGTATATATATATATATATTTCGATTTCGCGTCCTTTGCTAGTAGTGCTCGCGTTGCCTTTTAATTGCAATGAAAAAAAAGTCGACTTTGCCGACGAAAGCGAGACCTGCAAACTACCCGAAATGTGTGATACAGTCGAGTGTCTCTGTCTTTTGCGGTTGTGTCGCCGCTTACGCAGTGAAACCTTCTCCTCCTTGTTTTACTCTGCCCACTTCTTTTATAGTCTTTGTTACTGATAGTACATTTAACTTTGTTGTACTTGTTTTAAATTGCGTTTGCGGGTCGAAGCTTTACGGCTTTGAAGTTTTCTTTCCACTAGTGCTGAAAGATATACTTTTTGCGAGAAAAGAAGAACATGAACGAACATCATCTAGACTTGACGAACAAGGTGACTAGACTTGACCAAGACAATTAAGATGAAATGAAGTGCAAAAGCAGCTCGACCAAACTATTCACCAAAAATGAGTGCTAAACGAGACTTTGTTTTGCTTAGATGAAGAGACAGTTCATTACGCATTCCTACAGTTTGGTGGTGTGTTGAGTTCTTATAGGAATGAAGGACTCAGATTAACAAACTGATGAGCTTTGATCTAATAGTTCGACCAGAGAACCTGAAGATAATCGCTGGCGAGATCGATAAGTAAACTGGCAAAGAAACGCATATTTTACGGGCATCACTTGATAGTAACGAAAGCACCGCTAACGACGTACCTCAGAATAGATTGTAAAGCTTGTCTTATTATTTGTAATCAGCACCTAATGGTAAGTTCCCCGTGTCGTTACATTTTCGGCGCTTGTTGCAATTTTCCAAGCTGCTACTTTGCCGAATCACTACGCGGCACCCAAATGTACCATATTCTTTGTCGTAAGTTGGAGGCGTGCAACACGACGTTAACAGAAGTGGGATGAAAGATGATCCTGATTCCCTCATATACTACTCATATATATAAACGTTCTGGTGAGAGAAACAACAAGGAGCATATCAAAACCTCTTTCTTATCCAATGTATCTGTGCTGATTACTGAAAGCAGACCGTCGAAGTTCCGTAACTCGATTAAGACAGGGCAATCTGAAACGAAGCCGTCATGACTGCGATGACCATTAAATCAGCCAAATACATTCGTGCGCTGCATCTTGCGTAGCTCTTGAAGCTGTTAGCCGCTCTTGGACTTTGCGCTCTGTAATGTGTGTCACCGTTGCTTAAAATTTGCATTTTTGTATTATCACATTTGACAGCATTCACCCACTCTTAGTCTTTACCCAGAGGGTTGGTGCACATGGGGTGTTTGCTGTGAGCATCTCTTAGCGCCCACGTGCTGATAGAGAATACTCATTTCGGGGACTGGTAGCTGCCGCGAATCTTCGTCATGCAGCTGCAAAATGCCATCAAAACGATTTTTGCATGACATGAGCGAGAAGAGGATAATAGTGGCAAAATGAATGCAGCAGATCAGGTTGACACTAAAGAGGATTAAGGGCGAAAGTATGACTCTTACACGCCAAGACAGAGTGTTCAATCGAAGAGGTGGATAAGGACTGTCCTGCCTCTTCAGCAGAGTACAAAATAAGAGCAGGGTATGAAACAGGACATGTCGGAGGGAGGCGAATGACGCTGCTCGAACAGCAATTTCGTGCATACGACAACTCGTAGAATTCGTGCAGACGGCTCGCCTGCCCATACATAAGGGTAAGCGACAGCTTTTGTATCGTCCGACGTGCCAGCGCGCGAAGTAAAGTCTATCTGAAGCATACAAGCGAATATGATCGCTAATAAACAGATGCGATGGGCATCATAACGTAGCATGTCATGTTTGGTCTTGGCTTGTGCATATGTGAAAACGGTGACCGCCATGGCCAACCTCACGATTTTACAACCAACACGTGCGTTTCGAACAAAAAACGTCTAAAGCTTTTGCCGTTTGTAAATAAAACTCATACACAAATCCTATGAACTGTCGTTGTGTAAGTCGTCAGATGTAAGTAATCGATGCATTGGGACTAATCAGAACGAGTTTAACGAAAAACAACACTGCACTGAGCTCTTCATGGCCAGCTGGTTGGATCGAACACTGCGAAGGCATCTTACGATGGGAAGTAGTGTAGCTTGATCGTTTTAGATAATTCATTTTCGTCGCTACTTTGGCGTGCGCACTTGGCCTCGAAAATGATGAATGCTGCTATTGCGTTTGCGCTTGGTGCCTGCTTGGTGGCTGTAGCTATCGCTGACATTCGAGTGATGATTGGGTCCACATACTCGGGCCCTAAAGGATTGAACGACTTAGCAACATCGATGGGGGAAAAATACATGGGCACGACCACCGACATCAAGCAATTGAGCGACAAGTTTTACGCTACGGAGCTTAACAATACCCATAACTTTGGAATGATTAGTCCAGCAAATTCCATGATGGTGAGTACCTTGAACTGCATACGAAAGTATACGATGTATAGAGCTGTCGTCAACTTTAAATCTGTTTGTGCTGTAGTGGGATGCTACGGAGGCCATACAAGGCGTCTTTACGTTCGAGGATGCCGATGCAATCGTCGCTTTTGCCAGAAAATCGGGGGCCCAAGTTCGCTGCCAGACTCTGGTTTCGGTAAGTTATTACTGATTAAAAGTGCACTCTACTAAACAACGACTAATGCGTTTACTATATTTTTGCAGCACAAGCAAGTACCGAATTGGGTACAAAGGCTGGAGAAAGCAGAGCTCCTCAAAGCAATGTCCAATCACATTACCAACGTTATGACGCACTTTGGAGACGTGTGCTCCGCTTGGGATGTCGTCAGCGACGTAATCGAAGATGATGGATCGTACCGCCAGTCCTTTTGGTTTAAGAAGACGGGCAAGGACTACATTTCCACCGCGTTCGAGACCGCCAATGCCGTGAAAGTAAAGCTTAAACTGAAGACCCGACTGTACTACAACGACTTTGGAATCAGTATTGTCAACAAAAAGTCAGATGCAGTACTGGAGATGGTAACATCTTTGAGAAGAAAAAAATCTGGGTGGAAGGCGTCGGTTTCAAGTTGCACTACAGAGACAGCGATTCGGTAGCGGGCGCCCACATATTCAACAATTTCCGTCGTTTTACCATTAAAAACATGGACGTCGCGATCACAAAGCTTGACGTAACGACGAGCACGGCCAACCCCACTGTGATCGAACAGCAGAAGCAGGTTGGCATTTACACCAATGTGATCTCGGCCTGCAAGAAGACCAAGCGATGCGTCGGCGTGACCATGTCGGATTTTGTGGATACGTACTCGTCGACCAAGCTGTCCGCCCCGCTGCTATTTTACCAGCCTGGTGGAGCCAACACGCACCTCGTACGGAAGGCATCGTATGACGCCATCACATCTGGCTGGATTTTATAAGTTTAGTCCTTTGTTTGCAACGTCAACACGCCACGTGCGCGTTCAACAACAATAATCTTTCCGGTGTTATACCTTTATAAGGATATCGACTGTCAGATCTTAAAGACGCAACCGGTCATGGACTCATTAAACAGCTTTTTGCACAGTTTAACAGCCTTCGTACTAGGTCACTTAGAAAAGCTTCCGAGGGTGGGTTGCAAACTGGCGAAAGAAAGGGAACAGTTCATTTACAATTTGCGAGATGAAAGTCGGCGTGGTGCGTCTATGTATTCTCTACACCAAAATGGTAGATGCAGTTGATGGCACAACTAGGTTGCTTGGAGCTGTAGCGTCCAGTACCTAAGCAGAATTTGCTTCCGTTGAGGCGCACCTTATAGCTTATTCCTGCCAAGAGATGCAACCCTAAGAGCGCTCATAGAGCTCATCCTATAGACACTCAACAAACAGTGCGCTGTACGAAGTGGGGACTGTAACGCGACAACAGCAAACATTTTGGGGGTTGTTTAGTTTGACGTCTGGCTTGTACCACACACGGTTAAAGTCGTCATGAGGAATGTTAAGTGGGTAATCATGACGGTGTTTTCATCCACAAGATACAAGTCAGTCACATCAAAAGCGTTTGGGTGTTGTAAATGTAGAGCACAATGCCTTGTCCATTTGTGGATCGTTTGAAGGCTATCATGTTAATGTCCGCTTGCTGCGTTTCTTACAAGAATCAAGCCGCTGTAACAATGTCATAGAGATGCCTTCCGCTTGAGAGGTGTCTTGGGTCCACCAAGCTGGTACAATCGTAGCGGCAGACGATTTAAGCCACAAGTTGGTGCCCGACACATCTGAATGTGTTTTTGCACCCTTGGTGTGAATTCCGACCTGTCGAATGTTTGCCGTAACCTGATAGATGACGGTGTAGTAATTTCATCACCTTTTACAATGGCAGTCTCAGTTCATAAAGTCAATGATGAATATTGCACACAACAAGCTGGATAAGTAGTACAACTAACAAACGCTAACGTAAGCAAAAAAGATGAGAATAACGTCGACACAAGTACTGACGATGGTTGAGCTGTTCATTACTTCACATTATTCTCTTGTGTGCGTGTTGTTTCTTGTTTGTGTAGTTGCGCTCGAAATGTATCGCTTTGTTTAAAGCTTGCCCGTTGACACAGAGCAAACGATTCGATAGACTTCCGTGTTAGACGTGTAGATCCTCCATTGTTGTATCTTGACCTTCGGACTGGTGCTGCAACTGCTTCTTCTTCCGATACATATTGCAGTACCCCATTGATGCACCTCCGGCGACGAAAGCGCAGAGAATTAGAATCAAGCACACCAGCATCCTTTTAATGACTTGTTTTCCAAATGAGCCAAAGAAAATTGTTCAACCGAAATGTGGGACGGAGAACAAACGGGCATCTTGAACGCATCCGCAAGCGACTAATCCGACTGCCGCCTCAGATTACTAAGGCATACTCGGCACGAGCAGCAGTTGTCATTCCGCTTTGTCGTTTTCAAGGCGAGCCATCTGTACTCTTTACATTGCGTTCACTCACTGTTGGCAAACACAAGGGCGAAGTTTGCTTTCGAGACCAAACTCCATTTGTTCTCCGTCTAATTATGGGGTTACAGCTAACCTGGTGCTTTAGTTGCTACACAATGATTCTTGACTTGACGTAGAAGTTGATCAACGGGGTTTTTATCCGACTCGGCACCTTCACCTTATAATCGTATAATGTCTCGGCTAACGTCGCTTGTCCTGCTCAAGCTATTGCCTCTCTGATTGCGTTTCCGCCATGATGCTGAGACAGCATTTCCTTATAACGATGATTTCAATATCAAGTTGGACTACATCAGACCATATTTGCTCCTTTGGATTCGCCTTCTAAAATCACTGTTGGCTCTACTGAACAAGCAATTGTAGCGTCTCCATCACCACCACAAGTCAATATCTAGTGTTTAGTGCCGTTTACATCACGTTCGTCATTGTTTGTTGTAGCGTCTACACCAAATTCTGCAACTTTGACGCATGTGCTGACGCTTGACTCATATGACCTCATTTAATCCTTACATCTCAAATTGACTGCTACTTTTAGTAAGCGTTATCCATTGAAGATGGTCTTCCCGCAACAATGAGATCATCGGTTTTAAGCCAGGATTGTAGCATTTGGCAACTATCAGCAATCTGGCATTGTTTTTATGAGACGTTCTTGCCTGTAGCATTACGAATACCTGTACGTAGTGCTGAAGATGTACGATTAGGCTTACTGCTAGGTTCCTGACATTTTGATCGAGGATACCAGCGACTCATTGCCTGTACTTTCGCTATAAAGGTGGAACCATGTTGCCAGTCCTTGCATATCTTTTTAGATAAACGTACACGAGAAATTATCCGGTCAGAGTGAGGTTTGAGATCGCGATGCTTTAAACTAATCTTTGTTTTTAACTCAACCCGTCATCATGACCAGACGCCAGCGAAAGAGACCAACGATACGCCTACTTGGTCTGCAGCACACCAGCGGCAATCAACTTCTCGATCTTGGCCATGATGCCCTGGTTCTGCAAGTGACGCTGGGCGCTAGCCGGATCCGTTTGGAAATCATTTAGCACGTTCTGCATCACCGGATCGCGCAAGATTGCCTGGATCTCGGGGTCTGCCATACCGTGGCGCGCGCGCTCTTCGTCCGTATCGCCGGTCTGGATCTTGTACATGACATTCCGCAGACCGTCGATACACTCCTGGTGGTTCGGGTCAAGCGCCAGACCTTTCTCGTAACTCTCGCGAGCCTTGTGAAATTCTTTCATAAAACACTGAATCGCGCCCATACGCGAGTACGCTTTTACATACTTGGGGTCGAGCTCAATGGCTTTCTCACAGTCCTTCTTTGCCTCGTTAAATGACGTCAGTTTCGTGTATGCTGCCGCGCGGTTGGCGTAATACACAGCACAAGACGGGTCCCGCTTGATGGCTTCCGTGTAGCGCTCCACGGCCTTAGGGAACTCGCCATTCTTGAAAAAGTCGTTGCCCGCATTTTTAGCCTCCAGCGCCTTCTCCGGATCAATATACGCCAGCTCCTTAACCTTGCGCAGCTTCACCTGCAGCGCCTTAATCTTGCGCTCCACCTCCTTAGTGCGGTTCTCCATTTGGGCTCCTTCGTATGAGTCGATAGCCGCAGTCAAGTTTTCCTCCAAATCGCCCTTCTTTAAATAAGCGTTGCCAATACGGACATATGCTTTGGCAATTAGCTCATAGTCGGCGCGATTCGCACGGCCCACTTCAATTGCCTTCCTATTATAGCAAGCAATCTGGGTCAGTATACATACAACTCAATTCCTCACACTTTACAAAACAACTGTTCACTCACTTGCAATCCTCGATGCACGCGTCGTACTGACCCATCTCCAGCTTCACAGCGGCCAAGTTACTGTAGTACGACATGTTGGTAGCGTCGTTCTCAATCGCTTCGTTGTAGCACTCGATTGCCTCTGAGAACTTCTTTTGCTTGTAAAACGCGTTACCTCGTTGTTTGGCTTCTTCTGCAGCCTTTTTTCCTGCCCTTTCGGCCTTCTCCTCCTCCGTCAGATCCTCCTCCATAGAACAAGGCTCCGGCACAGGAGTAGGCTCTGATGTGGGTGTAGATGATGACGTCGCTGCCGGCATCTCCTCATCATTATCGCCGCCCATATTGATGTTCAACCCCATGAGCTCTCCGAGCACTGTCATGACCCGGGAGTCTTTAATGTGCTCATTAATCTTGGACGGGTCACTTTGAATCTCCTGCAGTACTCGGACGAACGTCGGGTCCCCCAGAAACGGAGAAAGGCGCGGGTTCGTAGCAATCTTGCCAAACATATCGGGACCAAAGGCGTTTGCCAGTGGGTTAAAGGTTTGAGCAGACGCCATCTGCGCCTTCTCCACCTCTTTAATGCCACTTAGACACGCCGCGTTGGACGCATCCAGCTTAAGGCCGTCGTTGTAGGCGGCCGTTGCCTCGTCATAGCGCTTGAGTGAGTGCAGCGCTGCGCCCTTGCGGCTGTAGGCTTTCGGCCAGTCCGGCTTCGTCTTGATACACAACTCCGCATCCTCAAGTGCGTGTAATGCATCATCTAACGACAAGAAAGCAGCCGAACGGTTCGAATAAAACACGTGATCGTTCGGATCCAGTGCAATGGCCTTCGTATAACAGTCAACAGCTTCTTGAGCATTGCCGCTACTTAGCGCCGTGTTACCCTTGGCTTTCCATTCTGCAGCTGTCTGTTAAAGTATTTACGTTAGTATATCGACTCGTCATACTTGATTCTATTTTAGTTACTTACTTCGGTCATGACACTCTGATATAAGGTGGCGTTTTTTGGACTGACAAATCATCAGTCCGATGGATAGCAATGTTCGGGGACATTCCAGAAGTTATCGTTGGCCAATCATAAGTCGATTTATTACAATTATTATGACTGGACAAAAGCTTGAAATAGGATGCATGTAAGTGGTGGAAATTATCATGCTTTTTACAGGACGTAAGCGTCCGATCTCGACGGTGTCGCCAGATTCTCTAATTGGGCAGAAACTTCAACTTGCAATAAACAAATATGAATGAGTCAACTTCAACTAAAAGAGCCAATCAATGACATAATTTATTGTAATGTTTTTTAGTTCGACTGCTGCCACCCAACTTTGCAATCTCAGCTCGTGTAGTGTCATCTTTATTAATCTTGGCGACTTGATTTTGGATAGCAAATGTGCTTTTACGGCTAGAGAAATTCAAAAATTAGGTGTTTCTACGATGGCCATTGCAGCATCATTCCGCCGCGTTATAGCTTTGTTATCGATACTTCCCTTCATAATCTTGAGGATCTGTCGTTGCTGTAAAATGGAAAGGCGACGCAACAAAACTCAATGTTGCTGTATGCTCTCTGCATTGGCTTATGAATAGCGGTGACTTAGGTTAAGCGTACCAGTGCAATTTGGTGCAGGTGTCAAGACGAGAAGATAAAGCGACGTAGCTCCCGTTGCGTCGATACGCAGCTAGCAAAGCTAAAGCTAAAACACAAAAGTACCCTGTCACTGGCGGGCATCTATTAACAGCTTAATACACGAGTATCTTGTCAAATGAAAATACCAGTATATCTCTCCACAAAGATTGCCGAGGTAATCCAAACGGTTGATCTGTAGCTTACGAGATTCACGCTCTGAACCACGAATATATGCGTAACGTCTCGATCTACAACAGGATTTGGTGTTGTAATTTTTGATCTAGTCAATGTTGGAACAAGCTTTATTTGTGAATGACGAACATGTCGCTGATACAAGCCTGCTTTGTTTGGTGGCGCGTGCTGGTTACTGAAAAGAGATAATCTACAAACCCAGCCAGCTCTTATAGTTCTGTTTGCCGAAAAAGAAGAGAAATTTTTACTAGACCGTTTGAACTCCGTCCCACACTTCGGCAGAATTGTTTTCTGTAATTCACTTTACAATTTTACTCTTGTGAAAGAAGTCATTGAAAGAATAATGTTGCGTTTGATTTTGGTTTTCTGCGCTTTGGTCGCCGGAGGTGCAACAATGTGGTACAGCAATGTGCATCGGCGGCGACGGTCACGATACTTCATCGATTCAGATTCAGAGGTGGATGTCGAGTACACGCCTGAATATGAAAATATTCACACCATTGGAGTTCGATTCGGTCGCTTTGTGTCAACGGGGTGAAGCTCTAAACCAAGCGACAAATGTCGAGCGCAACTACACAAATAAGGACAAGCACACAAGGGATTATGTGAAGGAACAGCTCAGCCAACTTCGAGCTTGCATCGATGATTTCTCCAGCTTTATTACGTCAACGTTTGCTATTTGTGCCACTTGTTCAGCTTGTTGTTGTGTGCAATATTATCCTTTGACTTCATGACCTATGACTGCCAGGGTAAAAAAGTAATGAAACCACTACACCGTCAGATAGTAAGCAGTGCAAAGTATGAGAAAAGATGCAAACCATGTCAATCACCAGGCTCCGAGCCTTTGTGTAGCGGTCAGTCGTGGCTAATCACTTCACCATGTACGGCTGCACCGGCACGATAGGACCCAAAACCTCCTTCCAGGCTGGGTTCGCATCAAGGCGGCCTAGAAAAATGCTAGGTCCGATCTGCTTGCTGATCTGTGCGACACAGTCACGGGCAGCGAACTTTGCAAGATGGTTCGTTCCCTGGAGCGTAAAGACCAAAGGGTCAAAGAAGAGCTCAAGGTAGCGTTTAAACACCTTCTTGCCGAGCGCCTCGCACATGGCCGGCACCTGTTTCCAAATTGTTTCCTGCAAGACGGCCGTCTGTGGAAAGTGGCGAAGGATCGCAATGTCTGCAATCTGTGGAAGAAATTTCACAGCAACGTCAGGATCCACATTGCAGAGCTCTCGCACCATGTAAATGGCACCGTCGGCATGCTCCCACGGCTCCTTGTCGCGGTGCTCATGACGTTCGAATAGTTTAGGCTCCAGAGAACAGCAAGAGAAGGCTTGCTTGCTAAGGTGCTTCTTCTCAGAACGCATCAGATCATCGTATGCTTGTTGCGTCATCGCTGGCTGCATCTTCGCAAGCGGCAAGTACTCTTCCGTGACTTTGATCACGCGGTCCAGTGCTTCATGGCCATATGCGCGGATCACATTACCCAGAGCAATGGCGGCGTCTTCACGCACGGACCAAATGTCATCCGAGAGGTGGTCAATCCATAAATGATATAGATCATTCAGAAATGGACGGCACTCCTCGGGAAAACCAAGCACTAGTTGCGCCGACGCCAGGCATGCAGCATCTCGCACCAGATTTGACACATCGTAGAAGCAGATGAGAAGAGCCTGCATAAGACGGCCGACGTGCGGACGAATCGCCGTCGGGTCAACTTTTGTGCCAAGCTCAGCAATACACTGACAAGCCGATTCGCGAACACAGTGGTTCGTCATCTCCACGTAGTAATCCACAATCTCGGTAGCGTATCTGGCCACTAATTCGCGGCCTTGGTTGCCCACGATCATTTTCCACGACTCTTGAGAGTACTTTTGCACACGCTCCGCGACGTAGTATCGATTTAGGCACATTCTAGGCAGCAAGATTGGCAGATACGTCATACGACCCTGCTCCTGCAACTTCATTAAAAAAGAGCGTGCCGCGATCGACGCAGCATAGCGGACTTGACACCAATTGTCCTCCATGCCGCGTTTGATGCACTTGTTCAAGATGTCACCCACAGCTGAGTGATGCGTGTCGAAAAAACCCGCAGGCGCAATATCTGCCAGCACCGTGATCGTGTCGAGTCCCACAACTCTTACATGGCGATTGATATGGAAGCAGCTTTTTGTTGCCACGAGCTCTAGAATCTGCGGCGTCAAGTAAAGGAATACCTTGCCGTTTCCTTCTGCCATCGGCACTTGCTGTAGAAATGCATCTCCGCTGCCTTTGATAATGTACTTGAGTGCACACAGCGAGCTCTCAAGTGCCTTCCAGCCACTCACATCATCCAGTCTATAGGGTGTCGAGGGCGTACGTGGTGTTCCTTCAGGACTCTGTGGTGGTGTCATCATACCATTATTGCTGATATTATCGTCTAGTTCATCAAAACCCGTCTCTTCAAAGTCGGGCGAACGACTGAGGTTGGCTACGACTGAATCGACGATCTGCGGCGTGAACGCTTGTGTAACCCACACGAGATTCCACTTGGCCAAGACACCCAGTAATTTGGCCACTGCCATGCGAACTCTAGGCTCGTAATACTCAAGATGCTGATGTATAGCTTGCTTGACTGTCTGTGTCAAAAAGGCATCGGATAGTGGCGCAATACTCGTCACATAGAGTGGAAGCTCTTGTTCAGGTAGACAAAAGTCCGTATCGGCGTCCAGATCCGGTAATTTTAGGTAACGACTCAGCAGATCACGAGCTACTACGAGGAACACAGCGAGAGGTTCCCAGCGTTCTTTACCGTATAACAACAGCGTCTGCAGTTCCTGTTGAAGCAAATCGCGTCGCGTTTCTTCATTGATTATAGGAGTGTCTGTAGATAGAGACTCGGAAGGACTAATAAGCTGTAGAATAGCAAGAGCAGTCGATACGGCGCCTTGTGGAACCTTTGGACGGTTCTTGAGCGTCCGTAATGAACTCTCAGCTCGGGATAACTCCATTGTTGTCGTATGTTTGATAATAAAAAAAAAGTATTAGATCAAAGAGGTCCATGAAGAGTATACAACTTATTGACCACTGGATACTTTATCAGAAATAGATTTCGTCATCACAAACACGAATCAGATATCTTTTGCTTTCCCTTTTCGGATCTCACTTTTCAATTTGACTTCTTCACCGCAGCCAACCGTCATGACTCGAACTCTTGACGTGTTGTTACTTCTTTGGAGCTGTGTACACTGTGTGTTTGCAGTGCCAAGTGCCGAACTGAAATTGCAGTTGCCGTTCCCCGTAGAGTCACATCCGTTGCATTTGTCCTCGAGTCTCTTTGCAGCCTCGGAACGACTGCCACTGAACGCTCATGTGGTTATCTCGTCATCGCTGGCGCTTCCAAAGATGCTAGCGGATGTGCCATTCCCCACTGGTGCTTGGTGGACGAATCTCGTGCTAGCTGAGGGCCGATCGGCTGTTGCGTCCATGCCGTACGTCCACAAGATTATAAACGAAAAGCTCCATATCAGTTTTCCGTTTCGTGTCGTGTCACCCAAGAGTATCGTCGAAGGATTTATTTCTCAAATGGTAGTGAGTTCCCAGGCGATGCAGACGTCGACGTTGCCCGTGGCACATCACGTGGTGGATTTTGATGCCTTCAGCACGACGGTGCGCTTCAGCAGAGGTCAAGTGGAAGAGTTTCGTGTGTATCTCGTACGAGGTTCACCGTACGTTACTATGGAGTACAGTCACAGTCGGCCTGTGGTAGAAGCCATGGATGGGCTCCAGATCACACACTTTAAAAAGCTGCAAGGACTTACGCTCATGAACGGAGACGATGTGCCTTTTGCCACGTTTGCGGCGGAGCTCAATAACGGACAGACGTGGTACTTGTACGCATCTGATAAGAAGCTTGTGCTCAAGTTGAATAACAAGGGCCAAGTGACGAGCAAGGACGAGTTTACGGGTGTACTACGAGTGGCTCTGTGTCTTGATGCCAAGCTTATGCCGTATCTGCTCGAGTCGGCGTCGGCCTACGCTGTTGGAGGTGATGTCGCACACTCTGTGGATCCAGAAGACTCGGACAAAGCTTTGCTTGAATTCCAGTGGAAGACAAAGAGCTTTTCAACTTTCCACGGCGACACTGCCAAGGTGACGGATGAGGAAAAGAACAAGTTGTTGATGCTGACGCTGCCACACCACATGGACGTGATGCAAGTGCAGCAGGACAGCAAGACGCCGGAAAAGGGGAAAAATCGGGTGCTGCCAGCTTTGAAATATACAAGTATTCGGGGAGTGATGGAAGGTATCTTTGGTGCTGTGTGGTACATGAAGGAGAAGCTACCAGCTGTGGAGTGGAATTACGCTGACGATGGATTATTCAGTAACGACTTCAGCGTCAATCTGGCCGACGAAAACGAGTCACATGCCGCCAATAAGCAGCTTCGGATCAACATGCGTGAAAAGGTTACACAGGCAATACTGCAAGAGCTTCCCATCGATGCCAACAAGTATCAGGCTCCGCTTAGTCCCGATTCGTACAATTTTGGCAAGCAAGTGAGTCGCGATGCGCGCTTGCTTTTGATTGCGGACAAGTTTGAGCAAGACGATATCAAGCAGAAGCTGCTGACGAAGATCGAGATGGAGTTGGTTGAATGGCTTGAAGCAACAAATGCGAACCATTTTGTCTATGATCAGACATTTGGTGGCGTGATCACGAATGATGGCTGGCATAACAAGGACGCTGATTATGGCAACGGCTACTACAATGATCATCACGTACGCGCACAACATTATTGCTGTTCCACTTGGGAATGGCATACTAACCTTATGATGTTTATGCAATGTTTTGCAGTTTCATTACGGATACTTTATCTACGCGCTTGCTGCAATTCGGAAGTTTGACCCAGCCTTCATTGCAAAACATGCACAGGCTTGTGCCTTGCTCATGGGTGATATTGGAACGCCGCTGCTGAACAGTAACACGTCCTTTTTCAACGATCTACCGGTGCGATCACTCTTTCCTACCGCGCGCCACAAAGATTGGTTCGTGGGTCACTCGTACGCCAGCGGTCTTTTCCCAATGGAGGATGGCAAGTCCCAGGAAAGCAGTAGCGAAGATCTTAACGCCTACTACTCTCTCGCGCTTTTCTCTTCTTTAGACGAAAAAGCTACTGAAGGACAAGGAGACAGCTCGTACCATCAGTACGCGCGTCTTCTGCTTGCGACAGAGCTGCACTCAGTAAAGAAGTACTGGCACATGTTGGAGAACTCAAAAATTTACGAGCCTGTATTCTCGAAAAATGCTATGGTTGGAGTCGTGGGTGAACTGACTGTCGTATACAACACGTGGTTTGGCGACAGCCCTGTCTACATTCACGGCATCAATATGCTCCCTTTCACGCCTATGACGCCACAACTGCTGAACGAGGAATATGTCACGCGCGAGTACGCACTATTGAGCCAATATCTACCAGATCTGAGTCAGTACGACATTTGGCGCTCTATCATTGTGATGGACCATGCAATCTTAGACGCAGCAGCGGCTTGGGACGAGCTAAGCATCACCGTTAAGGCATTCGACACCTGGTCTTCGCGAACCAACGCTATGTACTGGATAGCCACTCGCCCATCGTGGTTTGAACAAAAAAATCGTCCGGCACTGAGTAATCCACATCTGGATACTGGTGAAAAGTGCTTTGGATTTCCGGCTTGCGCTTCGGCAGGTGACAACGGCACGGCACTGATGTGCTGTGGTATATTGCCAGGTTGCTGCCCGAGTGTACTAGGTTGCTGTCCACACGAAGACCCCGCTCTATTGCCGAGCAATACCTGCTTCGGCGAGCCTGAATGTGCTGTGCTAGAATTGGGCTGCTGTAACTCCATTGATGGTTGTTGTGAGCCCGACACCATCTCAGGCACGGTGCTAGGCTGCTGCAAGAATCAACACTCCGGGGTAAGCAACACGACCCACAAAGCGACTAAGAGATCCAAGGATTCGGCAACCTGCTATAATGAACCTGCGTGTGAAGCAGCCAAGCTCGACTGCTGTGGCGCACCAGGAGGATGCTGCTCTGGTTCTGGAGTTAAGTTGGGTTGCTGCTCAGTGGAAAAGCCTTTAACAGCAACTGGCGGTAAGACGGAAACGTGCCAGGGACAACCCCAGTGTGGTGCTGCTGGGTTAGACTGCTGTGAATGGGAAGGAGGCTGCTGCAAGCCCGATCCTGTGACCGGGGGTAAGCTGGACTGCTGCCAATATGAGGCAGCGGACCTGCCCTCAATCAAGGCCGTTCCTATCCACAACGGCGAAGACAGCTCTGGCGGGGACAATACTGGTATTACTCACATCTTGATTGGCCTGGGAGGAGCCGTTCTGCTCGCGTTGATTGTTTTTGCTGTGGGCATGTGCAACCGGCGTCGTGGCTACGCCAGCATTGACGGCGACATGCGTGCGCTATACTGCGCTGGACTGATGGCCGGCGTTATCGCTTTTTTCATCTTCCTTACCGTTACGTCGTAAGTGGGCTATGCGAGATAAACGGCCAACATTATAAACTCTTTGTTTTCCACATTGATCAGAATTGTCAATGCCCTTCTAGTCCTGTCCCATCATTCGTTTATGACAAGTGCAATTATCTCAGCAGTGTGTGGCCAACCTCGCGTTGGCTTTTGGACATGTCAAAGCTATAACGCACCTGTATTTATATAGCGCATAGCCAAAGCCGACCATTGAGCCTCAGGCAGCGCAGAACCTCGGATACACGATCAATTGTCTGTTTAAAGCACAACGATAGTCTTCATCATCTCGGTCAACACCCTGCAAACAACCGCACGTTTGAATGCATCAGCGTCAAAACACCTCCCTCCCACGAAAGTCCAACTCTCCAGGTCACCAACAACTCTTTTTCTCTCGTCTCTTTTTGCAGTTCCCCAATCATTCGTTCAGGTTTTAATACTCTCTCTTTCCAATAGAGCAACAATACAGGACTGCTCAACGTTTGACCGAAGAAGAAGGAAAATACAATCAAAACCGGTCTGTTCTGGTCTGCTTTTTCTGCTTGTACTTGTCCTGATCATTTCTGATTAGCTGCTTCCTTGTCCTGCGCCATCTTGCACTTGTCGGCAGCTCAATTAGTCACGACGAGGTGGTGACGCGCTAGTGCGGCGGGGCGAGCGACTACGCGGACGCGGGGAGCGGCTACGACTGCGGTCACGTCCAGCGCCACTGCGTTCTCGGTCTCGACGAACGGGAGAGCGCGAACGTGAGCGTCGACGATGGCGATCATCACGTCGGTCATCATGGCGGCGGTCGTCCCTGCGGTCTTCATGGCGACTGCCACGGCCGCGGTCTTCTCCGTAGCGGTCTCCACCTCCTCCATAGCGGTCACTACTGCCACCACCGCCTCCTCCACGTGAGTAAAACTCCCGTGGGTTGTCAGGTCGACGTTGCTTGGCGAATTGCACGCGTAGATCACGGCCTTGAAAATCTTGACCTTCCATTCCCTCAATAGCATCCTCTGCATCACGTTTCTCCATGAAACGCACAAAGGCGAATCCACGTGATTCGTTCGAGCCACGAGCACGTGGAATGTACACGTCACCAATCTCTCCGTATTTGGAAAAGAGGTCGCGCAATTCGTCGCTCCTATAGAGAGAGAAAGGGGTGATACAAGGGATTAAACGACAGAAAGAGAGAGACAGAGAGGCAATCAGATATATATACTAATTGCATGTACGTACCCAATCTGAAAAGGAACATTATCCACCTTAAGTGTGAACATGGTATCAACGTTCGGGGGAGCCATGTTGTCGCTGTCGTACGTAACACGAAGAAACTTAAGGAGTGGGTGGCTTTGCCGATGTGTGGAAAAGATTGGATAAAGAAGGAATAGACGATACTTATTGGATGAAAACAAATTAGATTTTTCTTTGTCTAAAGGGACAAGAGTGTGGTTCCAAAAAAGTGGGTTCGGGTACTTCTGGACGACCTTCGCACGACATGTTATTGTTGCCATCGACACGATGGAGACCAATGCGCAGGTAAGCTCGTTTCATTTCAAGCGCTCGCTGCTCGCGACCTGCGCCATACAAACTACTGTCAATAAATACTCCATTGTTTGAAACATTATACGCGCTTAACCATGGTATTTTTATCTGCCAATACGCCATACAGTATGTACTTGACGACAGCGAAGCAACGGCACCAGCCTGGGCAGCTCGTATCCGTCTCACGCCCGAACTGCTGGATAAACTTCGCCAGATGCCAGATAATGTTCGGCTTCAATTGAATGTAACCCAAAGAGATGTACCTTCTACGAATTGTGGCAACAGCAAGAAGACGAGTCTAATGACGGTCAGGCTGGTAGACACAGAAGAGCAGTACGAATTACTTTCGTTTCCCGAGGACCCAGGCATTAACCACGTCTGCACCTTTCGTCAACGAGTAGCTGAAGAATCTGCTGGTGGCTATGATATTTACAAGACGGGTGCAATTTATCAGAAGCTGCTGGTTCAACGGCTGCTGGACGACACGGAGAAGGACCGTATCAAGGACAAGCACGCCCAGTCCGTGCTTGCATCCAAGTCGCGCTCTTCAAAGTTAATCGACTCCAAGCTGGAACAACCTACAAAACGGCAGAGAATTGGAACGAGATCATTGAGTGTTCGGACCTCGAAGACGTCGACGGGTAGCAGCGCGTGGTCCAAAGTGGGGGGACACAAGAGGTACGTTAAGATGTGCATATGTTTGGTTTAGCTTACAACCTAATCGCTCGACTCGATGCAGGACTAAAAAGTTGGTGCTGCCTTCTGCATTGACTACGGAAGAAGCTATTGAAGCTAAAGAAAAAATTGAGAAGGGGTTTGAAATTGAGATGGGGGTGCCAGTGGTTGCAACGAAGGAAAAGACTTTTGAGTACAACGCACAAGACGATGATAAAGTGGAAGTTTCTACCGCGGTCGTCCGTAAAAGATCTGCTGCTGTTGTTCGTGATGCGGATTTTCACGCCCTTTTTTCATCAGATTCAGATGATGAAGATGGTGGAGTCAGCGCGCTGCGAGATCAAAAGAAGACGACAGCCGCAAAAGTGAAAATCAACCGGAGCGCTGCGATAGCAAAGGAAAATGATCAAAGTGAAAACAAGTTAGCGAGTAAAGCAAGAGAAAATGAGACCACAACTACAGTTTTGGATACTACCAAGCAAGTAAAGGAGTCGTTAAACGTTGTGAATGCAAGTGGTGCTGCCGTGGAAGTTATAAAATTAGAGGTGAACGACGAAAATGTGATTCAAGACAAAGAAAGTAGTGGGGCGATGGGTATATATGCTTTGAAGCCTATTGAAGCGTCTACTTCTGAAGTCGAAGTTAAGCGTGCTCGCGTGCGGTCAGCTCTTGTGTCCGATCGAATGAAACAGTCTCGACTACCGGACCTGTCATTTTTTCCACCTGTAGTTGTAGAGATCTGTCAGCGGGTAGCACACTACCGCGGTCGATCGGTGATCCTTGACGAGGGCGACTACGACTTATTCGTGGAGACACATCAGCATTTTTGGCACGATTGGGAGATGCTGGATAAGGTAAGAACGACAAACCTATTTCGGATATAGCTAGCTTTAGCGCATCTTATTGTTGTTACACAGGCGTATTCAATTGAGATGATCAAGACAGAAGGGCTGCATTTGCAACTGGAAATGGACATAACGGACATTAATCACAAGGAATTGGAAGCGAGGATACAAGCATCCTTGAGCAAGAAAGAGGTATGTCGTCGTTTATAGCTCAAAGATATTGATATTGCAAACTGCTTGACAAGATTTACGTGATGAGACAGGGCCTGCTTTTTGTGCGAGACGTCATGGCAAGTATCCAGAAAATATTGCTCCGCATCCAGACGTCTATTGATCGCTACGATTTGAACCTGCCTAAATCGAAATAAACTATATTAACGTGTACCACGCGAATCTATGCTTTTTACACCAATTTTCCACAGTTTTGTGGATTCGTGCACACAATCAACCGACACGGGGAAGCACCAGCAAGAGCTGCCACATCTTCGTCGCTCATAGGCATTGTGAGAGCAGTACAAGATAACTAGTCCATTAACAATGGAAGGGGGTGATTCACGTAGTCTTACTGAGCCGCCATTTATCGCGAGAGTGAGCGTATCCATCAAGAGGTTTGTCAATCGTATTTCGTATTTTCCTTCCTGTATAAGAGCAATAGAGGTGGCACCAACATGCTAATTTTATTATATACCGGTATTTTACTGTTTTCAGAAAATGGCAATACTTATTGGACAAGAGTACAATCCACGTATATGGACGCTGGGGTGTCACGCTCGCTCTATTGACGCTCTACCTCGTACGCGTGTTTCTCTTAAACGCCTTTCACATTGTGACTTATGGTCTGGGCATTTACCTCTTGAATCTGTTCATTGGGTTTCTCTCGCCTCAAATTGATGCTGAGAATGATGGTCCACTACTGCCGCATAAGCAGAGTGAAGAGTTCCGGCCCTTTACGCGTCGCGTTCCTGAGTTTCAATTCTGGTACTCGACGTTTAAAGCCGTCATTGTCTCGTTGCTTATGACACTCAGCAGTGCCTTTGATGTACCGGTATTCTGGCCCATCCTGCTCATTTACTTCATTGTGCTCTTCACGCTCACTATGAAGCGTCAGATCATACACATGTGGAAGCACAATTACGTGCCCTGGGATCACGGCAAGCAGGTTTACAAGGGCAAGAAGAACGCTAAATAGACGGCCACATAGTCAGCACTGGCAGGAGGCACTAAACATAAAGTTCGCCAATTTTTTGGACCGAGTCTAACAGAACATCATAACAATACCGACAATCGGATGGTGAAAGAGCGAGCAGACTTGCAGTGGCTAGTGTAGCCGGATATAATTTGCCATGAATGAATCTACATGTATCTTCATGTACACCCAAAGGATGTTCAGTATTCAGTTCATTTGACACGACAGCGCACTAAACTGAATGGATTCCTCGCCACATTCATTGTAATGGCTTGATGAAGAAATTGTTGTCTATCGCTAATGTCTGATGTAAAGTTAGCGAGAGGGAGCAGACTTACTACATGCAGCCGCTGGTAACACTACGTTCCTGTCGTTAATCTTGATGTACAAATTTTTCCGGATATCTTGTTGGGCTTTTGAAAGCACTGATGATAGTTGGGGTCCAGAGTTGGTAGTAGAATCCCTTTTTGCAGAACGATAAGCCGCTTTGATCGCCACACGCAATTGTTGTCGAAAAAAGTCGTCATTTAATTCTAAAAGAGATTCTTTGTCGACAATGCTAAAGTTTGCAGCAGCAACCATGATGTACTTGACCAGTTTCCGTCCATCGCCTAAATTCATAATGACGTCGTCAAAGTTGTAATTGTACTCGCAGAAATTCACGGACTTACAGATTTCTCGTCCTTGGAATTAGAATTGCTAAGGGGATTTTGTACTGGTTTATCACATTTTATCATTTTGTCATCTAGTGACGACTCATCTGCAGCAGAAGATACAACACTACGCGTCTAACGGCGTATCCATAGCTGCAGCAAATTAGTCGCGGGCGTCAAATATCGACAGCAGCAGCTCACCGTACTCGCCACTCACCTCCTCGGCAATGCGCTCACGCAGTTCCTTGCCATACTTTTTCTTGTACACGGGCTTGATGTCGCGCAGCACAATGTGATAGCGCACGACGGCCGAGCTCAGAGCGTTCTCGTCCGTGCCAAATCCCTGCATGGCCTCCTCAAACAGCTCAGCCAATAGCTCGAGTGGCTCCGTGATCATACGAATGAGGAACAGCACGGCTTTTTCCGCCTCACCGCGGAACTCATGTGCCGCGGCCTTTGTCAGCGGCTCCTCGTAATTCTTCTCATAGGCAGCGGCCACGGCGCGCAGATGCTCGGGTGGACTGGCCACCAGTATGCTCACAAAACCCTCCTCGTCCGTGCCTATTCTGCCACGCCCTGCTTTGTAGAGTTTCTCCACGTCAGCCTCTACTTTGGCGGCATTGTGGATGTTTGCATCATACGGTACGAGCGCAGCCTGCAGTGACGCCAGGATCACCGTTTGGAAGTCACCGCTCAGGTCGCTGTCTAGCGCAGAGCCCAGGTCCTCACCGTACGCTTCGTAGTACGTCTTTTTGAGAATGTTGATCTCGGTGTTAGTACGGCCTACGACCACTGGGTAGATGAGATGCTTTTTCGTGCCCAGGCCCTTGGTGGCCTTGTGTAGGATACCAGCTTCTGCTTCGGGCAAGGGTGATGCCAGCAGTTTGAGCAGGAACCCGTAGTGACCCGACGTTTCGTCGTCCAACAGATCGCGCAGGTTCTGATTGTGTAGCTCCTGGTAGCGCTTGGCGATGAAGTCGCGCTGCGTGGACGTCTTGCCTCCCAGTGCCTTGTTCAGCTCCTTCTCCTTGGTACCAATGCCCTTAGTGGCCTCAAAGATCTCGTTCACGGCCGAGTCTGTGCCGGGCGGGTATGAGACCGGGTGGCCGTTCCAGGCACTGTGCGTGGAGGGTGGGTACAGGTTCAGCATCTTGAGTTAGTGTGTGGGAAGGAGAATAGTTTGTGTCGACTTGCGAGGGAGGTCGTAAATTCGAGAATGAGGAAGTTTGCAATGAGGGAAGATCGTCGTCCTAAAAACTTCAATTGGATATTTGGCTCGTCTCTGGCCAGCAAAAAGACTGATTTTTGGTCTGGAATCCCAAGTAGATTTTTTGCGCGAAAAAGCGCTCATGGAACTAGATACCCGCTGTATCTGATATTATCCTCAGAGGTCATATTGTCACAGATAGTTCCAGGCTTTACTGTAAGGATTAAGCTAAATCTTATACCTGCTCTAACCGATAGACTGAGACCAAAAATCAGTCTTTTTGCTGGCCAGAGACGAGCCAAATATCCAATTGAAGTTTTTAGGACGACGATCTTCCCTCATTGCAAACTTCCTCATTCTCGAATTTACGACCTCCCTCGCAAGTCGACACAAACTATTCTCCTTCCCACACACTAACTCAAGATGCTGAACCTGTACCCACCCTCCACGCACAGTGCCTGGAACGGCCACCCGGTCTCATACCCGCCCGGCACAGACTCGGCCGTGAACGAGATCTTTGAGGCCACTAAGGGCATTGGTACCAAGGAGAAGGAGCTGAACAAGGCACTGGGAGGCAAGACGTCCACGCAGCGCGACTTCATCGCCAAGCGCTACCAGGAGCTACACAATCAGAACCTGCGCGATCTGTTGGACGACGAAACGTCGGGTCACTACGGGTTCCTGCTCAAACTGCTGGCATCACCCTTGCCCGAAGCAGAAGCTGGTATCCTACACAAGGCCACCAAGGGCCTGGGCACGAAAAAGCATCTCATCTACCCAGTGGTCGTAGGCCGTACTAACACCGAGATCAACATTCTCAAAAAGACGTACTACGAAGCGTACGGTGAGGACCTGGGCTCTGCGCTAGACAGCGACCTGAGCGGTGACTTCCAAACGGTGATCCTGGCGTCACTGCAGGCTGCGCTCGTACCGTATGATGCAAACATCCACAATGCCGCCAAAGTAGAGGCTGACGTGGAGAAACTCTACAAAGCAGGGCGTGGCAGAATAGGCACGGACGAGGAGGGTTTTGTGAGCATACTGGTGGCCAGTCCACCCGAGCATCTGCGCGCCGTGGCCGCTGCCTATGAGAAGAATTACGAGGAGCCGCTGACAAAGGCCGCGGCACATGAGTTCCGCGGTGAGGCGGAAAAAGCCGTGCTGTTCCTCATTCGTATGATCACGGAGCCACTCGAGCTATTGGCTGAGCTGTTTGAGGAGGCCATGCAGGGATTTGGCACGGACGAGAACGCTCTGAGCTCGGCCGTCGTGCGCTATCACATTGTGCTGCGCGACATCAAGCCCGTGTACAAGAAAAAGTATGGCAAGGAACTGCGTGAGCGCATTGCCGAGGAGGTGAGTGGCGAGTACGGTGAGCTGCTGCTGTCGGTATTTGACGCCCGCGACTAATTTGCTGCAGCTATGGATGAGCTGCTGTGTAAGCCGTTAGACGCGTGCTGTGAACGAGTCGTCGGTAGCACTGTTTTCCCGCTCCTTTCGTCTGCATCTTAATGGTAAAATGTAATAAACTTGTTGACGATACTGATAATAATCCATCAAATTTACATTGAACAGTGTTGCATTACCTTGTCTACGCTTTCCTAAACTTGGGGTAACCAGGTGAGAATGACACGTATACAATGTACAGAGTATTTTGTGCTTACAAATTCTTCAAGTAAAATATCGTTGAACGGCTATGTCGAGATTGCCAGCACACAGGCCACAATGCCCGTCGTCAAGCACCAGCAGCACTGCTGCAGCAACAGCAATAGATTTAGAAGCACTAAATTAGAAAGCTCAAAATTTAGTGATGATTTAAATTTCTGTCATAATTTAAAGGATATGGCGTTCTAACCAATCAGATTTTTAGGAGTGGGTCATGAATAGTAAAAAGGTGGATGATGAATAACACCTTCCATAAAAATTACTATTTGTCTTGATAAAGAGCTATTCATATCACTCTAGTCACTCTATCTAGTGTGATGATGCTGCGTGCAGCGTATCGTGTCGCTTTACAGCGGCCACAATTGTTGGTCTCTCGCCGCTTGTCATTTCTGGCAGCATCTGAAGTCATTGCAGGAGATCGTGCATTAGAAGATGAAAAATGGATCCGCCTTATGCGACAGACGAGTCGTCTCGAGTCATCCATACTACTGCCTTTGAATGAGAAGCTCTTGGGACCATTAGACCGCAAACATCGCGAGGAAAAACTGCCATCACTGCCTTTTGTGTTCCTATTAGGTAATCATTCATCTGGCAAATCTTCTTTTATTAATTATCTGCTGCAGCGGGACGTGCAGTCTACAGGCGTGGCGCCTACAGATGACGGCTTTACTATCATCGCCCCAGGCCATGAGGATCTGGATCAGGATGGACCGGCGCTCGTGGGTGACCCAGATCTGGGCTTCTCTGGTCTGCGAGTCTACGGGCCTGCGCTGATTCAGCGTACGCAGCTTAAGGTCCGCAAGGGCATCCAGGCTAAATACATGCTCGTGGACAGTCCTGGCATGATTGACTCGCCGCACAGCCCGTCGCACCTGTCGCAGTTCAATAATAAAGACACCAATGGACGACTATCGTCTCAACAGCAGAACAGCATGAATTTTAAGGGACATGACTCGGACAGAGGATACGAGTTCCCAGAAGTCGTGCGCTGGTACGCCGAGCGTGCCGATGTGATTCTGCTCTTCTTTGACCCGGACAAACCCGGTACGACAGGCGAGACGCTGTCCATCTTGACGCGATCATTGGCTGGCATGGACCATAAATTGCACCTTGTGCTGAATAAAGTGGACCAGTTTCGCAAGATCCATGACTTCGCACGTGCCTATGGATCCCTGTGCTGGAACCTGAGCAAGGTCATCCCGCTAAAGGATCTGCCGCGTATCTACACCATGTGCATCCCTACAAAAGACAACCAGTTGCAGCCAGCAGAGGGTCTGGGTGCATCCATGAAGGACTTGGATGCAATGCGTGATGAAGTGGTGAGCGAGGTACAGCGCGCTCCAGAGCGCCGGGTGGACAATCTTATCACGAATCTGTACGACTCGTCGCGGCTGCTAAAGATGCACGCTGAGATATTCGAAGACCTCCGTGCTCGGCATGGTAGTGAGAAATGGCGGCGTTCAGCTCTTGTTGCTGCTACATTCGTGGGAGGCAATGCTTTGGCAGGTTCAGCGCTAGCGGGCGGTGTCCCCATTGAAGCTGCGGCGGGACTATCTGTTGCTTGTGTGCTAATGTCTGCCGGTATAGTGTGGCACAACTCGACAGTGATGGCTCAACTCGAGCGCGACCTGCTGCACGAGGACTCGCTGAGTGAGCTGTTCCGTCGTCGCTATGGCCGTCAGCTAGCAGAAGGAGATGAGTACGTGCTGTCTTTGTGGAAGCGCGTGCTGCCGACACTGCAGGTAGCAGCGCAAACGCTAGGCTTTAGCAGGTTGCCCAAACTCAAGAACTCTGAAATTGCTGCACTCGACAACATCGTGAACAAGGAGATCCCGGAATTGCGTCGGCAGTGTGCTCCTTCGGACAGCAGTCTAGCCCACCAGGTTGCCAAGATGTTTCGCAGCTAAGACGAGATGGTGATCTGTAATCACAACATACCGGCCATGGTAGCAGACTGCCTCCCGGCCTTCTTTTTGATTGTCGATCTAGTTGCCAAATTAAATGCAGACTAAGCTAGCTGAATGTGATCTTCTTTCCACTAAAGGCTGTTAAGCTAACCTTCTCCTTCTCCTTTTGCTTTTGCTTTGCCAGCCACGACGGGTGCGCAGTCTCCACCAAAGCATTAGAGGCATAAGAGACACGCTGCTTTTGAGTCTGAGGCGTACGCTCTTTCGATGCGGTACGCAACTTGCCGCTTCTCGGCCGATGTGTGTCGCCTTTGTTTGGCTTGGCCTTCGATTTTGCCTTCTTCGGTCGCTCGGATGGGCCGTACTTGCTGACAGCACTCGAATCAATTTTGTAAGGCACAAAAATGCCCTTTGCACGGTCTTCCTTGCGCTGAAAAGATTCTTCCTTACGAATAGCTTTCATCCGACGTGCCATCTGCCCTGGTCGGTTCTTTCTCTTCTTCTTTTCACCCAGGAACTCGGCAATGTCGTCGTCAGCCCCATCCATAATAGCATTATCCCCCATTCCCATACTCAAGTCGACGTCTGCTTCTCCACGACCTGACAAAGAGCCAAGAAACAGTGAAGACGGCACCACACCACTGCGTCCCGTATTGCCGACGAGTGACTCGTGACGACCACGCTTCATCGCTCGCTTTTCCTGAGCACGACGCTTCTTTTCATTTTCCTTCTCCTCCTTCTCTACTAGCTGCTTAATGGCGTCCAGTACCGGCACAATTCGCTTGTGAGACAGGATGCGATCCATCAGCTTCTCCTCCAGCTTAGTATCCTGCTCAACCATCTCCCTTACCCCTACAGCCTGTTGTTTAGCACCTCCTTGCTCCTCATCCATATTATACTTCAGCTCCCCATCTGTATCCTTCTTATAATCTCGACTTTCGTTACTATTCTCCTCTTCACTGTCACTGCCTTTCTCATCCCATTCGTGTGGTGCCTTCTCATGCTCGTTCTGTGTCTCTGTGTACGTCTCCAGCTTGTCCAGCCCTGTCTCTACCCTTGCTCTAGCCACCAACTTTTGCAGTTCCATCGCCTTAAGCGCCGCGTGTTCGCACTCGAACTTGTCGATGTTATTGCGCAGCTTTTGTTCGCGCGTCCGTTGTTTGACCGCATCCTGCACAGGCTCCTCCAGCTGCAGACGCAGCTGCTTCAGTTGCTGCACTACCTTACGTACTAAGAAAGTGCGCACCTTCTTGGCCTCACGCTGTAGTAATGAACAACTCTTGTGCACGAGTTTCTCATGCGCCGAGAAAATGTCGTTGCGCTTCCGCTTGATTGTCATGGTCCAACGAGTGGTGTTGGGCAATTTAGAAATGCCGGACATAAGCGATAGAAATGCATGACGACCAAGCAGGAATATTCCTATTTGGAAACAGAAGGAGATGTTTACGTGTCATTTAATGTTCGCTGCTGTAATCATATCACATACTTTTACTTTGTACCAATCAGATTGCAGCTTAAGATCCTGTGCTTATATATGTACACCACATCATTATTTTGTATCGCGTCAATGCTGTCATAATTGTACCGCTCTCTCACTCTCTTCTCCTCCTCTCGATCTCTTTATATCGCTCCAAAATGCCCGAGTCACAGCGTTTTCCACTGGGCACGCGTGTAGCCAACCCATTAGAAGGACGTACAGGTGAGATTACAGCTTTTGACGCCAAGTTGGGGCTCTACACGCTCGTATACAATGACGACCACCGAGACGTATTATCTACCAATCAAACGGAGCAATTTGTCATTCAAATTCCTGCAAAAGTTGCAAAAGAGTGCGAATCAGACGTGACGAAAGCGTGTGAATCAGATCCGAATCAGTTTTTGGGGGTTACTGTCATCCGAAGCTCTACGAGCTACGAGGGCAACAAGTTTACGACTTCAGGTCAAGTAACGCAGTATTTTGCAGACATTAAGCGGTTCCGTGTACTTTTTTCCGATGGATTGTACGCTGATATGACACTGGAAGAAGTGAAGCAACATTTACAACGGGAGGAAACAGAATCAGATCAGAAGCGAGTTGTAGACGCAGACGAAATGTTGAAAAAGAACAAGAGTAAACAAGATCGTTATCAAGAAATGGAACGGCCATTGAATACGCAAAAATTCGACAGTCGCAAAACAGCCTATACAATGTGTCGAGAGGTGTTGAGTATTATTTTGAATCAGAAGAAGGGGGGCAAACACTGTTCAGAGAAACAAAAGATGGTTTTAAACAATAAGGACTTACCGGTACGAGGGTGGATTCGTTTTTTTCTTGTGAAGTTGGAGAGAGTTATTTTGTGATGATGTTAATTGCTGGTGACTTGCTTTTAGCCAAAACGAGCGCTCGAGGCATTTGTGGAAGCGGACGGATTGAATGCATTGGAGAAAATTTTAGGCATTTGGTTTCGTCTTGAGAGTACGCGCTCGGCTGCATTGCTCGTTATGAAGGTAAGGACGTGGATTAGTAGCAGGTTTGATTAAATTTGAAGAGTTGACAGTAATCTGACGTTGCCTAACGCTTAGGTTTTGGCAATGCTGCCTGGAGTAAAGGAGGAGCATTTGAGAAAAACGAATATTGCTCGTACATTGCGGGGTATCGAAAAGCTCAGCTACTCTAGCCACATTGACGTTGTCTTTGGTGACCTGGCGCACTGGATCATTCAAAAGTGGGTGAAAACGGCAATGAATCGGTCATTCAACCGATCGGCACGAGACTTGCTCCTTGAGCAACAAGCCCAAATTAGGCGGGCGGGCACAGCTGGACAAGTACACCTAACTGCACGTCCAGCTACAAAGCTTACTATACAACAGAAAGAAACGATGCGATTGGAAGCGCTGCGAACGGGTACGGATGCAAGTGCGGAATTCCAACAAGATCCTGGCGAGGAAGTTGTAGTGTATCTACCGCAATTTAACTCGCTGGGTTCGGAGAATATGCGTCGTCCTGTTCGTCAAACCCAAGTGATTGAGTCGCTGGCGGCAAAAATCAACCGTGACTACGCAGACTCGGTGAAAAAGCATCATGAGGACGATGGGAAAGAAAAGGAGGACGGTGTAGCTCCCGGACGGATTGTATTTGGGAAGCCTCAATTGATGCATTTCAGCCAACACATTCCTGTAATTGGCTTGTTCTCCACCACGCGCAGTAAAATAGTTGACAAGAACACAGGGATTGGTGATGGTGCTGTGGTCTCGACAAGTGGCGACAATTCTGCACCAAAGACGATTTCAATGCCCAACAAGACGCAAGCGCCGCAGAAGTCCATTTTGAAAGTGAGAGACGAAGTCATTACACCGGCGTCGCAAGTTAGTTGGTAGCCTGGAAACCAGGTGGGAAGGGAGAACACGGAACGGAGTAATGGAATGCGGACTGCTCCAGACTGCGCCGACCACACTTCTCAATTCGGGTATCAATGCAAGTGGATTTTGAATGTTCAAAGTACATCAATGCTTTCTGCAATTGCTTTATTTACTACTGCACAAAGTCGTAGAAGTAACCACTGATCCCATAGCGAATGAAGAAGGCCAGACCACAGCACAGAACCTGAAACGCAAGCAATGCTAAAACAAGGTGCACCTCCTTCATGGGTCCAAACACTACAAGGAACAGATTGATAATCGTGTAGTTGGATCGTGTGGACTCGGGCGTAATAGTAGACGGCTCTAATAAACCAGTCTTTGCGTTATACTTTGGCAGCCGGTGACGCGGGCAAGGAACAATCTTGAACAGCTGCGGGATCGAGTACAGGAAGTTGAGGACCTGTGGCAGAAAGAAAAGCAAAAGGGTCTTGCTGAAGTGACCCAGGATGCCACATACTGCAAACGTCATACCAGCGTAGTAACAGAACGTGTCTCCGACAAAGACGCGTGACGGGTACCAATTGTGTCTCAAAAGACCAAGCGTTGTCGCCAGGAAGGGTACCATGAACATGAGCGACAGGTAGTGAAAGTTCTCGTTGTCATGGCCCAGTAGAATTTGCCACACATTCTGCACGACAACAGCAGCGCCAATTACAAAGGACTGTCCTGCCTCCAGCCCATTCACACCCGCATAGATGTTAATTGCGTTCGTGCAAAAGACTGCCATCATACCCATGTACAAGTAGTAAAAAAGACCAAGCTCAATAATCTCTCCCCCATCACTGAGTGGCACGACAGGATTCAACATCGTGTACAGCATTTTGTCCTTCGCGAACAAAAAGCGCACAGGCTTGGGCAGCACCACAGCCGTAAGTCCAGCGTAATTGATCAACAGCGCTAGCGACGCTAGCGGTGGGAACAACAATTTGTGACGCCAACGTAAATCTGACAAGTCATCGGTAAAGCCCAGCAAGATCATGGACAGGATACTAATGATCCCCCACACCATCATGCGCTTCACGTCGGAATTGTCCACAACAATGACCACCGTCACAATTAGCGCTGCAATGTACACGATTCCTGAGACAATTCCTAGAGCTTCGGGACTTGCTTGTACATATCAATTATCATGCAAATTTGTTAGTTTATTGCAATATTTACAATAAAAAAAAATATCTCAACTCACATTGGAAGATCTCCCGCTGGAGTGCCTCGTTTGCATAAATCTTTACCCGAGAGCTTAGCGGGCATACGACGTCCGATAAGAGGGATAAGTAATGCTACAGTTACATAACTTACAACACCAATACCTGTCAAATGCAACAGATACTTTATCAGCGCCATCGGCAGTTCATTCATCATATAATACGAGTCAAAATAAAATACGTGGCATGAAAACGAACAAGATAAAATAGTATGCTGTTCCATGGGAATATCTACTACTACTTATTTTTTCGTCAAAAAAACATCTTGTAAAATTCATTTGGAAATATTTCGATAAATATCACATTATGTACTAGCCAAAGACGACTCCATTGTTTCCGTCGACGCAGGCGATCAAGTGAATAGGTTCATATTTTCATGTTGAGGAGATGACGCATTGCTTCGAATTGGTGGTGAAAGTGGCGGTGGATGTCGAAAATGATTGATTGGAAATGTTGAATAGGGTCTCGACATGGATGACATGGTATTGTTCAAGTGAAGTCGCAGCTGTGTAGTTTCGCTCGTATCAACAGATACACTCCCGTCCTTGTGAATGTGGACCTTGTTGGATACAATGGTCTTGAGCATAAACTTGCCTTGACATTCGTTCAACTCAAGCACCACATATTCTCCATTTCGAAAATTTTCAAGCAGCTCAAAGTCGCTAATGCGATATTTGAAATAACGCATGAGAATGACACGAATGGCTACACCATGTGTCACAAGGACGTAATTCTCTTCCGAGGATTTCACAAACATGCGGTACAACGACTCTAGGAACGATGATACACGGTCGTACACGTCAGCAGGCGACTCTCCACTTGGAAATCGATAGAAAAAGGAACCAAATCGTCGACGTTGTGCTTTACACTCCCGAATCGTTCGTGGTTCTTGAAAATTCCCAAAATCCTGTTCTCGGATACGAGGTTCTTCAGTCCATGGAATAGCGTCACCTTGAAAGCCCCAGGCTTTGCGAATCCCACAAAATGTTTCAATCGTACGTACATATGGCGACACAATAAATCTCTACAACACGACACAATGATATCAGGTGTCGATGATTGCAAGTATATCATCCAAACACATGAGGAAACGACAACGTACCATTGTTTCATTCCCTACAAGTTTCTTTATACTCTCTCCGGCCGCTATCGCTTGTTCGTAGCCAAGTTCCGTCAAGTGCATAGCATTGTCTGGTACACAACCATACAATTCTGGGTCAATATTCCCCTCGGACTCACCGTGACGCATCAGGATCAAACGTTTCGGGAAGTCCTTCTTTTTCTTGCGACATAGTAAACACGTCAGCATGCCGTATCGAGAGCTTCCTTTTGGGCACGTAGATATACAGTGTATGCCCAATACAAGACCAAGGATAGAGCCTACAACTGCTGCCGAAGCAACACTCACTAGGAGCGACGATGTCGAGTACATTTGCTCGAGTTATTGTCGGGTATAAATTAGCCACTTGAGCTCTTGGTGGTTAAATTAATTGTGACGTTATCATAACATTGCAAGAAAATCCAAGCAGAAACAACAGCTGAACATTTGTCAATTGACGTTGTAGACAAAGGGGTTTCCCACAAGTCCTTCTGACTCTTGTCATATTGTATACATTTTCTAAGCTTTGCATTCACTAGACTGTCCTTGACCAGCTATTGTGCTTTATAATCTAGCAATAGCTAGAGCCATTTGGAGTATATCCATGCCCTTATCTTTCTTTTTACACGATATCGTTCAAGTCACCCGATGTCACAGACATTTTCTCTGCTGCGATAATGATTGGGCTTGAAATGCTGGCATCTTGAGTCAGGACAGTAAAGATCTTGTGATAATTGACCGCTGAACTTCCTGATCGAGATAAAAATTCCATCACATTCGTCTTGAACCCTCGGTCGAACGGATTGGACATCACCACATTAGCAAATTGCTTGCTGCTCTCACGACCATTCGATGCAGACACTGGTTTCTGGGTCATATATGCGTATCGACGCCAATTCATCTGCTCGTTAATGGTACGATTCTTGACGATGTTCTTTGAGTGCTGATACGTCATCATAGCAAGAGCCACAAAGGCCACTACGGACCACATCAACACCATGACTACCATCAGGTGTTTGCTGACAACAGACGGAATCTCTATCCAAATGTCCATGGCTGATAAACTCCCACTGGTACCACTTCCGGCAGACTTTACTCGCTCAGTATGAAGATTGTGCGTTGCATCAGAGAGAACCAGAATCGCTCCTGCAGCGTAGATTCCCAGCATAATGCAATGCAAGAGTAAAAAGGAAAAGAACGAACGGTGGTTGCCGTACCCAACGCACCGATTGATCCAGGCGCAGTGATGATCATGTCGGGCGACGCAAATGCCACATTGATTGCAGTGCTTGGAGCGAATAGGCTTCATGACCAGGCACGTGCGGCAGAACTTAGCCATGTCAGGTGGCTCGGCTTGGGATGCTTTATCTAGCATTGTCTTCACATCATGCTCGTAAGTAGAGATCCTACCTGGGTCTGTCGGGCATAAGAGTGCCAACTTTGCCCAGACCACCAGAAACGCCACTTCCATTCCTCCGGTGATGCCCAGGAAAACAATGTGACTCTCCATAAAGTCCTTGTACGTCGGATCGACCCACAACACGATGTAAAACATGGTGAACAGACAGACCCAAGCCATCCAGATGCCCATGGCCGACTCTGGCTGTGCTCGTGTCAACGTGTGCCACCCCACACGTACCTCGTCTTTCACTTTCGTGCTCCGCGCAGACATGGCTTCCGTCGGACCTTCTTCTATTTGTTCAAGTGATACATTCATGGCGACCACTACATTTCGCTTGGATGGATGCATGTTGGCCGAATTCTTGGGATCTGCGCCGTGGGAATGTCCACCATGAGCATGGCCTCCATGGCCATGACCCATTCGACGAAACGATAAGAGTGATTTCCCTAAAGCAATGAGAATTAACGGTAGCGCAAGCCACCATGCAAGCCAATAACTCGTCGCCAGAATCGCCAGTAGCAGTGCACCATGTAATACCACCACAATCCCTCGTGTCTTGCGCATGTGTGTAGGTGGATTGGCCGCTTTCACCTCACCCGTCAGCAAGTCGTTTAGCCACAGCAAGTTACGCTGTTTTGCCAGATCCAAGCACGTCTTCCCTTCTGCATCGGCCTCCTGTGCGTCAAAGCCTCTGGTCAGTAAATACTGCACCATGGGTTTGTATTCACTCATGCAGGCATAATGCAGCACGTTGCGGTGCTGCAACGAGTATCCACCCGGCGTCATCTTCTCCACATGTTGCTCCGTTCTCGCCAGTGCAGCATTCCTTTTCTGTTCAGCTTCCAGCAAGAAGTGCAGCATCCACAGATGGCCTTGCGCAGCAGCATGATGGGCTGCAGAGTTGCCCCGTGCGTCCTGAGCCAGTAGATCGACATATCCCGATTGCAACAACGTATTCGCAAGCCGTAAATTGCCAGCATGGGCTGCTCTTCTGTTAGTAGGATAAGAATCAACATCAAAAACGTTGTCACTAAACTCGACTCTTCCGTGGCCTACAGAGCAGAGAAACATTGTATTGACATCGCTAGACTCTAACGCACATGAGTGGCGTCTCTCCTGCATCATTCCTGGCATCCATAAGTAGTTCTTGTCGACCACTAGCTTGCATCTGCTGCAGCAAAAAGTGCATCGTATCGCACGTATCTTCGCCTCCTGCCGCCGCATAATGCACCAAATTATTCCCGCTTTTGTCCTTAGTTGCTAGTAGATCGACAGGTTGAGGTTGTACTGCCATTGCCATACCCCAAAGCAGCACTACGAGGGGAAAATCTCCATTAGCAGCGGCATCAAATGCCGTTTGGCCATCATAATTTACATCCATCTGATTCAGAAGGAGCTTGTCGTATTGTGGATAGGTTAAATGAACATGTCGCAGACTGAGGATGGTGTAGCATATGACACAAATGTTTACTCCTAGCGTCAGAATCCGTTACGTCATCATGTACTCAGTTAACATCTCGACATAAAAAAGACGAACGAGTATCCATTGTCATGCGCAACATTATGCGGATAAATATTAGTTAAGCTTCCTACAAATTTCAGCATTTCTTCCCGACATCAAATCAACGAGTCTCCAACTCATCCTCTTCATCGTCTCCGTTCTTGGTTATCCGAGCTATGATTACTAGTCGGCAAATGGCTAAAGCTCTTGAGCTCCTGTGGCGTAAAAGCATTCACAATTGACTTCGATGTCGCACCGAATCGTGTGGCACTACTGGTGGAGATGATCTCGTGCTCGCTCGACTGTCGCTCGAGCTAGTGCATAGCTCTCGCTTGCGTTTGTGCTTCCTCTTGTACTGCCTCCTTTTTCTCCTTCCTCTTCTTCTCAAAACTCGCTAGCAAATCGGTGCCTTGGAACTTATGCACAAACGCATCAAAGTCGTGACAAGACGAAAACCACGACTTGATTTCTTGCCGCTTCGAGTGACCAGTGCTGCTAAAAATCTTCTTGCTCGTCTTGGCCTTGCGTTCCTTTTCCGTGCTCAAAACGAACAGCCGATCGTAGAATTCACGCACACCACTTACAAATGCTGCGGCACACTCAAAATCGTAATTCTTTCTCTCATCCAGTCCATTCAGATTGGTAGGCTGTATGTCTGACTGCTGCAATTGATAATTACTGTCCAGTTCAGACGCTCCACTGGCTGAGACCGGCGTCATCATCCAGCTAGATCCGGACCGGCTTGTGCTGAGCACGTCGTCAACACCTCTTGAGGCGACACCTACCGGAGGAGGATTAGTCCCCACAGGCGAACGCATCGATGACACATCAGACCGGGAGGCCGGCGTCGTTGGTCCACGACTTGATACGAGATGTTGCGAAGAATACCTGCGACTCATTTTCACGCGCATCTTGTAACGCTGCCTTGTGATTTTCTCGATCCGCTCAAGAAATAGCTTTCGCCATTTCTTAGGCAGTGGTACCGCATTACGGAGTGTCTTATCGGTCACAAGCGAGTCCACATCTTCTAAATCAACTACAACAACGCATGATGAAAGCAGGCGAGGGTCGTTGCCACACTTTTTAGAAAAAGCCAAGCAGCTCTGCCATGTCTCAGCCGTAGCACCTAACAGGAATGGAGGTTCTTCCTCTATCGATTCTGTTACCGCGCTAGACGCCAATGGACTGTTCACACCACCACTGTAGCTGTCAGTACTTCCTCGTGACGAAGAGTACGAGCTTCCGCTACCCCATGCCCGCCAATCGTGTGAGAGCCTTGAGAATGACCTGCGACTCTTCGGTCGAGCCGCAATCTCCGCCTGTGCATGTTGATAAGCAGCATCATGAAGAAACCTCCAGGACGTCACAGGCACGAACGGCAAGAAAGTATGTTGCCACTGAAATGGTTCTAGTAGCTTCAGCAGACTTGTGGTCATCTCCTGGATCTGCGGGTACGAACTGCCCACCACTACAACAGAATGCTCCAGTAACAGCACTCCCAACAGCTTCACCAATAGTTTAGCACCAAGTAATCGCATTGTACGCAGAACTCCAGCACCAACTGCAGCTTCTTCAGCCTCCATTATGTCGTACTCCGATAAATACCAGTCCGGTCGTGGAATCTCTTGACGCCACGCTCTTGTGTCTCCCTCCCGCACATTAAACACCTTAAATTGGAGCTTCGGGTGTGTTTCAAAATGCGTCCGTACTTCCGGTGCGAATTCGTAACCAATCGAGAGCACTAACTGACGGTCTTGGATCAACGCATGTGTGTTCATGCGTGAGACGTCGAAATCTAGCATTCCATTAAAATTCCCAGTGTTCACATCTGATAGAGCTCGAGTCCCCCCTGGTGTCACAACTGATTCTGTCGATGAGCTGTCGAGTCCTCCGAAGTACAGCACAGCAATCTGTTGAGGATCAAACGCATCCAGTAACGTCCGCAAGTAGCGCAGGTTTCGCGACCGAAACTCTGACGTCTCGATCTTTCTCTCTACGTATTTAAATTTCGCATCACGCCACATATTGAAGATCCACCAAAGCTTCTCCGATTGCACTTCATTAAAATCACACAGACCAATGGCACCGTTTGAACTACTGCCTTCGTCGTGCACAAAGCCATCTGTTCTTCCCAGAATGAGATCTTCTCTAGACGGCAATGCGCTCAGGTCACCTAGATCGATAAACTTTACGGACGATGTACGCTTCATCTCATTATCACTGCTCTTTACCGATTCAGCAAAAACAGGTTTACTTTCTTCCTCATAAGAGTCCCCATCACCAGTTCGCGTGAACGACAACTCTGGGCTTAATGACGCAGAATCAAGCACTTCTGGTTGTGGCGCCGAACGTGACCGTTCTCGCGTGAAACGTCTCAGCTTCCGTTCACCACCTTTTTTTGCTGCAACAGTAGCCCCGGACTTCCCCGTAGCTGTCGACGAAGGAGGCGGAATATTAGACCGTTCGCTCAATGAGGCCAAGCCTGTTCGAGGTGTTGCTGAGCTTTTCAAGCCGCCAAGTGCACAGTAAGATGCAGGACCCTCCAGGTATGGCGACGAAGTCTTGGATGCCAGCAACTCAGAGATAGATGACATCGACTGGTTCTTCTTATGACCTGCTCGCTTTCCACATGCTACGCCAGCATTATTCGAAGACGGCGTAGCTACTTGCTTTCCGCTTCTGCTCATTTGTGGTGACAGCACAGGAATCACCGCAGAAAAGGACGAGGATCTGGAGTTGTTGCTGCCCACGCTAGAGACTGAAACACTAGAACCTGACGGCATAGCTGTAACTGCAGCTGCTACAGCCAGATTGGATGTCGAGCCGTGAGGTGGCAGTCGCTTGAGTGACCTTTGCAGCGCTTGAAACGTTTGCAACTGGTGCACAATACTACTCAAGCACATTCGAGCACTCAGCAGCTCGTCAAGATGCATATGCAGAATTTCTTCGACATAGTCAGGCACGCGCTCAAACTGTTGGATCTGGCAGGCTGTGAAAATCAATTGCAGTGTCATGGCTTCCAGCTTTCTAATGAATCCTTCACTAAAATTTAGGATCGGTACCACACAAAACCGTCCTTTTTGAGGCCCTCGTCCGTACGGCATCGTGAAATCGTTTTCAAACCCAGACGAGTGCAACATTTTTGCATCTGCGATATCATGAAACGCAACGCGCCGGAAGAAAACGCCCTTCATGGTGCGAACAGCCTCCTCCCAGAATGCCGTTGCTTCCTTGAGATGTTTCTCGCTCTTATATGACGCAATACGTTCGAGCCACACCCACACTTCACTGCAGAATATCAACGTTCGAAGGAAGCATGCGGGATTTGCCACTTGCTCTGCCAGATTCAACGCAGGCCGGAGAAGCTTTTGCGTCTCGAGCAACGTCTTCCGGGTCTTTTCGATCGTGTCATCACCACCTAGGTCATCTAAATCCAACACTGATGGACCTTTTCCGGAGCTTTGACGGTGCAAGTGCAACTTGAGCATTTCGTCGTCCTGATTGCTACCGAGAGCGAAAAATGATCGCTGGATCGGAGCCAGCATAAAGGCGACGATCTCAAGCAAAACCTTAAGTTGATACAGACTGTCGTCCAAGAGGCGGTACAGATCAAAAGCAGTCCAGAACGCATTTTGCGCTTGTTCTTCAGCTTTGCCAATGTCTTGAATGCACGTTCTAAACTGGACCATGCGTTCATGCAAACGCTGTTTTTCGTCCTTGTTCAAGCCATATAAGGAGACGCCCAGGGGCTTAAGCATTTCCTCAGCCTGTGCCTGTGACACAACACTTCCGACAAAAGACGAGCCCGTCGAGCGTCCTCGTTTAGTAGGCCCTTCGCCATCGCGGTGGAGCTCCATTTCGCGTTCCTGCTGCTCGCAAATAGCGCGAAACACCTTGCCGTCAAGAACGTATAATTGAGCCTTTTTTCTGATGTTGTCGCGGTCATTCTTCACGTGAGCCAGAGAGAGCCAAGCAAACGCGTTACCAAAATCGCCAAGCTTTAGATACATCTTCACGCGACAAACGATGTATCGGAGAGTGAATGACATGTCGAAACAGTAGCGTGCTTCGCTACCCATGCCACCAAGGCTTCTACCACCACCGCTACTACTAGTCCCAGGTCCGGTGCCGCTGCTACTTCCTGGTCCACTAAAACCTTTGATATTCTCCTGTAGTCGGTCACAAAAAGCTGTAGCCTCTCTTTCCATTAACGAGAACATGTGACGACATGTGACAAGCATCCGCATCTTAAGCGCGTCCTCTGCGAGTAGCATACGCAGTTGCGTGCGCTTTCCGCGAGGTAATCGCGTGCTATAGTTTAAAAGATGTTCTAGAACGCGCATCCCTTCCAAACACCGTCCACTCGAGCGGTAAACGTCACGTACGAGAAGATGTAGGCTAATGTCATGATTCAACCAAGTGTCCACCTCGCTCGCATTTCCTGTGCTACGCGACGACAGGTGGAACGATCCCGAGAGAGAAGATGACACCGAGCTTGACGTGGCAGTCATCATCGTGCCACTACGGCTGGATGGGGCCTCACTACTAGAATAACTCGCGGTTGTAGCAGATGACAAAAAATGTGGTGGGAGCAGGTTCGTGTTGTCTCGCAAGAATTGGCAAGAAGTTGCCAGATATTCCTCAGCCCGGGTAAAATTTCCCTCACGAATCCAAAGTTTGGTCATCTCCTGCGTTAAATATACATACACTGTAATGTTGCCTTGTCGCTGAGCTGCGCATGTCACCTTCTCGTGTAGCGGCAGCGCTCGATGTACATCATCGGCCTCAAGCGTGAGCTTGCATAGAAGCCGGTCCAGCTTTTCATACTGGCAGCCCCGATTTAGAAAACTAAAAAGAGCTCCCGCAGCTTCCAGACACAAGATGCCATAGCGGTATTTGTTGTTCTTGATCAAGATGTTGCCCAGCCCCTCCAGTGTCTCTCGGCCCAAATCGGAAAGGAGCCCATAGTTGTTAAATGTGCTCAGGTATGTTACTGGTGTGGCCTTTTCGTGGCTGCCCAATGATAGCATTTTAGCAAGTTTAGCCAGAAAATTCTTCGAACACGACTCGAGTAAGCGAAGCGCTTCGTAGGCAAGCGATTCAGCTACTCTCAAATTACCATGAGACGTGGTAGAGGAAACGTGCATGCCAGCCAAAACAGTTGCGCATTTTGCTTTTACCAGCGGGAAATCTACGGCCGCAATCCGCTCGTAAAAAAAACTTAACGCCGAGGTACGTGTGCGAGATGATGGTCTCAAAAGCTCAAACAATTTGGTGCTAGTGCTCCACCCACCCAGCCCTTTCGACGAATCACCACGTTCATAACCACTATCACGATAATCAATATTAGACGAAGACAAACTGCTACGACTGTCGCGATTGTGAGGTGCTAGTCCCACAAGCATAGGGTCAACTGTTGCCTCGTCATCTTCAAATTCGAGAAGCTCTTCAAGCGCTGGTAGCGAAGTTTCTGCCAAAGCACTCTTACTGTCGTACAAACTTTGAATGTCACACATAATAAGTGCCTGAAGACATAAAGCATCTGATGAAATCGCAAAATGTCTGGCGTCCTCTGATTGTGGTTTCTGACTTTCGCCAAAAGATTTGTGTCGCATGAATCGATTGCTGTGACTTTCAGGGCTCGTGTTCAAGTGCTGAAACAGTGCACCATAGTACTGGAGTACTTCGTTCACGATCTGCGACGCAGAATCACCTACAACTGGTTCTAACGGCAAGAACGCAGGCAATTGGTTGCAAATCTGCCACTTGTATTCGTACTCTCCACTTGCAAAGCCAGCCAAGTGGTGACAAACATACCGAAGCTCAATAAGCGCAACGACGTTTGAATACTGCGGTATTGCTTCCGCACAATGTACCAGAATGTCCTGAAACTGCTCGATCCAGTAAATAGTGGTCTTGTTGCCTTGCGATGATGCTGACGAAGAAGTAGGCAGCGTCGACAGTGATAAATGCGTTGCAAGCGGCACCACAGGTTTTGGACCGTACAAACGCGCGGCTTCCTGTAAAATCTCGATGCTGCATCCAACCACAAACTCTAAGTCACTAGGCGATAAATTCTGGGCCCAGTTCTCGTCTGTCAGACTAGTAGTTGATACCTTTTCAAAGTACATCCGAACAAGCTCGCGGTTCTCCTCATCCTCACCAAAGTAGCGGTGATGTGTAATCTGCTTATAAAATCTGTCTACGAATTCGCGCCCGAACGGTAGTGACACGAGCGCGTAAAAATTCTGGTTCTTCACTTGTCTTGGCGGCGGCAGTCGACTACGTTCCGCGTCCATGTAATGTGATACTACCGCGCAGTCTGACACCACCAGATCCACCAGCCATCGCTCATAATTGTTCTCAGAGAAGCTGGGAAAATGATTGCGGTCTCGCTCCAGGTTACTAAAAGTGCTAGAAGGTTTAGGATACCGTTCTATCCTGACCGCATAAGCGGACGAGGTGGCCACCTCGAGCAACCGTAACTTGTTCACAAGGGTATACTCGACCGTATTCGACGACGACGCGGACGTTAAGCTGGATCTGATACCATCTAAACTTCCATCTACGCTCACTCCAGACTGATGACAGTCGTTGCGTCTCTTTTGAAAAATTGGCTCTTCCGACGGTCTCCTCTGTCGTCGTCCTACCGTATCCAGACTAAAGTTTCCACCGTCCACGTCATCCGTCTCGTCATCATCGGGTAACGTCTCCCCATCCAAAACTTTGTGCAAATTGGGGAGAAAAAAGTTGCCATTCTCTGCTCTTCTCCTGGTAGGATCCATGCTGTCGGACGATCCCAACATTGACGCATCCGATTCATTCTCAAAGCCAAACTCTGCATCCCAGTCCTCATCACTGTCGCTCGATTCTTCATGTGGATCTATTGATGGAGAAGTTTTTCCAACTCGTGCCGTGTCTTTTACCGGCGAGTAGGAGTTATAGAGTCCTCCTCGAAGATCGTCCTCGTCCACGCCACCACTCTGTCGTCCAGAGCCGTTGCTACCACTGGAATCCCTCACGTCACTTCCTCTTCGATGACTTGCCGTTGCTGTAACTCCATTGGAACTGCTACTACTTTGACGTTTATAATGTGTTTCAGCCACGCCAAAGTCAGTTTTCCCGATATGATTTTCTTGTCGTCGCCAACGTGCCCGTGGCCGTTTCGCAGCTAAAAAGTCTTTACTCCAGTCTTCAACCTCGTCTTCCGTTGATGCTGATAGTCCCACCACAACTTGATCTTGAGCTAGTAATGCTTGAGACGTTGTATTTTTTGAATGATACAATGTCGTTGTCGTCCCATGACGTCGTGTCGTGCCATTGACTTGAGAGGTATAAAGAGAAGGAGAAGAACACGACAAGAATGTCGTTGCTGGATACCGATTTTCTTTTCCATTTCGAGAATTACTCGTCCCCGTCTGTTGTATTTCAAGTGGTTGGTCCTCCTTCTGGTGCTTATGCAGCACACGCTGCATTGGGAATTAACAAAATACCGTCCTAAGTCCAACTCCTATAGTACGAGCAAATAAGGCATAAGGGTTTTTCTCAAACAAAAAAGAGTCTCTTCTAAACGTAAAGACGCGCGTGTGTGTCTCTCTCTCTCTCTCTCTCTCTCTCTACTCTTTCAAGTCACTGCTACAAAGTCGTTCGAATGGTGTCGACTGCAAAGTGTTCAATGCATAAAGCGGAAGTAAACCTTGTGGCTACGGGGCCATTCTGTGCAACACACCGTCGTCAGTGAAATTTTCAAAGCCCTAATCGTTCTCATAAAAATATCGAGATAGTACTTTTGCATAGTAAAGATCGTTTACTATTATACCAAGTACTACTTTTGAGACTATATACTTTATATTTAATGGATGAAAAAAAACAGTGGGGGATACAAAACAAATGAAAATAGTACTTGATGATCATATTACTACACGAGTCACCCTCTTTCAAAAGTGTAGGTAGCGACAACACCTGGGGTTTTGTTGCGCACAGCAAGAACGTGAATTACGTCGCGATTTGCGCCCACGTGACTCGTCGACCAGACCGTTTGTGTCCAATTTTGAGCGCCACGTTTACTGCAATAAAAAAGTATCTACGACTTGGATAAAATGGATGGCCATAGCAGCAGCTGAACACGTCGACCTGCTGCATCGGCATGTGCGCCAATTTTTCAGCGCCCTTTTTTAGCAGTAACAGGTCCTTCCTTTGCTGTCCTCCGGCTTTCCCAGACGATAAAAATTTGGTCTAAAATTTACTTCAACTGTCGAGAAGAGCGACTTTTTACAGGTTGATGACACTAATTCGAGTGATGCGTTTTGACCAATTATTCAGTTTCAGAGACTCAAGCAAGTACCGAATGTTTCACGTTATTTCCGTATGCCGCGTGGCAACCTTTCAGTCAGTATTCATTTAATCTTTTGCCGCAATGGAAACGTTGCTACCGTCACAAAAAGCAGTTGTACGAATTGTGGTACGCAACGTATACGCCCCAGCGCAGTCCCTGGCGCTTTCTGTCGATCCCCAGATGCTTGTAAGTGAGCTCAAGTGTCGTCTATACGCTGACTTTCCTTCCAGTCCTCCTGTCTCGAGCCAGAAACTCATTTTTGGAGGTAAAATCTGTAACGATCAGGAACGTCTGGCTCAGATTCTGATACCGATACAAAACAGTCAACAAAAAGAAGAACAAGAAGACAAGACGACAGATGAGCCGGTGGTGTTTCACTTATTAGTGAGCTCCACGATGGACGTCTTAAAAGACACGAGCCAAGAGTTAAAGACGTCGATCCAGACGCAACAAAGTCAAGTCACAGAAGCACAAGATTCACCGCGACCTCGAAGAAATGACAATGGCTCAACAGTATCAGACTCAGAAAGTTTCAATCCAGAGCCACGTCAGGTCATGGATAACCAGTCACCAGCCATGACGCAAGAACAGCAGAATCTGTTTAATCAGACTGTACTTATGCAGCAACAGACGATGGTGTTGCAGCAAATTCAATACTTCCAGTACTTGTTACTGCAACAACAACATCAGCCTACGACGTCTAATAGTGAAGTCCAACAGCAACTATTTGGAGCCCAGTTTGCTCCACCCTATGGCAATGTCTATGGTATCGTGCAACCACAGATGTTCCAAGCAAGACCGCAAGAAGCACAGACTCCGCTACCTGCTCGAGCTCATGCTCCTGGTTCTACTGAGACGCCGGTAGCGCCTCGACAGGACCGCTCGATGATCGTGGAGATGGCACGCGAAGTGGTCTTGCTGCTGGATTTTCGAATGGCGCTTAAAATGGCGTTTATGCTTTTTATCATTGGACAAGATATGCCGACCGATCGCATTCTCATGCTGGGACTATTATCACTTATCTCGTACCTGCACATTACTGGCATTTTTGCCAAAATCTACGCCGTGTACAACTACCACCGCAATGTTAATGATGGCACACCACCGAACACACCAGTCGACTCTGATGCTCCTGGAGCAGCGGCTGTTGCTGGTGCCGCTATTGCAAATCGATGTGGAATGCTAACGCGTGTACTACGCATTTCAGCAGACCGCGGATTCGTCCAAGACGTCAAATATTTCGTAGTGGGTTTGCTGCTATCGCTAGTACCGGCGTGGCACCCGCAGCCAATTCAAGGTGCAGCTCCCATCCGTGAAAATGCTATGCCCGATAACATGCCTATGCAAGAAATTTGAGCATGTTGTTTTCTGTGGATACGGTGATCGAAAAGCATATTGAGGGGCAGTGTAAAGTATTGGAAAAGGCAGTGATCAGGGAGAAGAAAAAGAAAAAGTAAGAGGTACAAGGAAAAGAATGAATAACAGACGGTGCTATGTCGCTTTCTTTGAGAGTAGATGTCAAAACAAGCAAGTGTTTAAACAGCTGAGTGACGATGCAGATTGGTCAATGCCTACTCATGCTGCTGCTGTGTGCAGTTTCAGTACAGGACTCTCGGCATGACGGGGTCGATGCCAGAATTGTGTTTCACCTGGACAACGAAGCGAGTTTTGTGCGTGGGTACTTCGCGGTTTTTGTGACGACCAATTTTTTTATATAGCTGACGGCCGTTGTCACAACGTTGATGTGAGATCTGGAGTTATATGTCGTAATAGTCTTGGTTGTTGTCATGCTATTCCTGGCGACTCGTAAGCATTACGAAGACTTGCGTGCTGATGTGCTCTGGTCCGTGAGGACACCGATAGAATGAGTACGAATGAGACCTGGGTCAGCAAACCATTAAAGGGTCTGCTTGCGTACTAACGTTAAAGGTTTTTCTGCAAGATGGGAAAGGCAAATGTATGAGGTGCGTTTTACAGCAGCTTCTTGTCGCTAACAGCATGTTCTGATGCGCAATGTATCAACTCGCATGCGTGTATGTTTCCGCATTTATGCTCCGTCTTGTCTCCCGTCATTACAGCAACACCAGCTTTAAAAATCATGACTACACTTGGACCTGTGTCATCGTATCTATGCTGGAGGCATCGAACGCCAACAATTAAGGCTGAGTGTTCAATCGCTGCGCCACCTGGGTCCAGTTATCCAGTGTCACCAGTGCCTTACCCGAGAAAAGCTGCTTCTTCGCCATCTCGTACCCACTCTTGATGCTGTCGGCAAGACCGTAGACATACAGCCCTGCACCAGCATTGTAAGCAATCGTGTTTCCCACGGGACTGTCACTTGCAACGCCACCACCAAACACCTTACGAAGGATGGCAGCGTTTTCAGCAGCACCTCCTCCTTGCAACTGTTCAAGCGTCACTACCGGAACGCCCACGTCCTCAGGAAGCAGTTTGTAGCGGCGAAATGGCACCTCCGTGTCACTACGAACTTCCACGACATCCGCCGTGCCCATTGAATTGAGCTCGTCTAGCCCCGCACAGTGCACAACAAGGCCATGCTCTACACCGAGCTTTAGCAGCACATTTCCAAAAAGATCAAGCAGCTTTGGCGTATAGACGCCAATGACCACACGTTTGCATCCCGCTGGATTCAAGAGCGGGCCGAGGATATTAAAAACACTGCGGATCCCAAGCGCCTTGCGCACTAGCGCTACGAAACGCATAGCCGGGTGGAAGTGCGGTGCATACATGAAAGTGATCTGTGCTTCCTCGAGACAAAGCGCCACTTTCTCCGGTTGAAGCATAGGCACACCCAGCGCCTCCAGCACGTCAGCAGAGCCTGATTGACTGGACACCGATCGATTGCCTTGTTTGGCCACTAGTGCTCCACACGAAGCGGCCAGGACAGCAGCTGCTGTGCTTAAATTGACAGTATTGGCACCATCGCCTCCGGTCCCGACAATATCAAGCGTCGCACGTTTAGACTATCAACATCAGCACAAATTCATTAGTAGCTCGTTTAAAAACCTCTTAAACTTGATACAACGTACTGGAACATGCACACTAATGTACTCGGAGCGCATATGCTTGGCAAAGGCTGCAACTTCGGCGGCGGTCTCTCCCTTGGCTGCTAGCAAAGCCAATAACACACCTACAGCCACGGGGTTCTCAACTGACTTTTCAGAGGCAATTTGCTGCACGGCAAAAGTGGCCTCAGCGTCCGTCAGATCTTCACGAACGGTCAATTTCTTCAGCAACGAGGTCAGTTCCATGGTCTCTAGTAGTCAATTGTGTTGTTGCACTAATTGGTACAACTTAAAGCGCTACTGTAACCTCATTTTTAGCTCCCAATTCGTAACAAGTTAAAAATGAGGTTATATTAGCGCTTTAAGTTGCGTCAACCAATCGGTGTAATTATCAATACAGAGCTCATCTCGAGTGTGAACCTCGTGGAACAGATGATTTGCGTGGCTGCATGCGTAAGGAATTGCTAGGAGGACCAGTGAAGGAAGATCTACGGTTGGACTATGAAGAGCCGTATGTACGCTGAGGATGGGAGGTGTAGCTGTTTGCCATGATATTGAGCGGCTGGTCCAGTACGATAAGGCCGTTCGCCTTCCAGTGTTGCGCGTGGACTCGAGTGTGCTTGAAGATAGTGACATCTCTAGTTCTATGACCCGATGATCTCCGATATGGCAACGATCGCCCGGAGTGCTTGAAGTGCATGAAGATAGCGCTGGACAATTACATTGCTTGCGGTCTAGGACACAATATGTTGTTCTTGCAGCAACCCTCACTTTGTAAGCGACAAGATCACTATGAAAGTGGTGGATGAAAAAGCGTACACGGAGTATTTGATAGTGTCCAGCTGAACATCGCCCGAGATCAAGGACCACCAAGTTGTCAGCGCAATCATGCACCTGAAGAAGGCTGGTAGTAGCGGCCAGATCTCTGCCGCATTCAGTCAGCTCCTGTTGAAAATTCGCATGTTCGACTCTGTCAGTGAAGATGAACTGGAGTTTTGTGTCGGACCAAGTAGAAGTCGTTTACAGCTTGCGTGTCTTCGCTCCAGGTTTGTCAATGAATGAATTGATTGCGCTCGGGAAGCGGATCCACGTCAAGATTGTGGACGCTCAGCTGGTCGTTGGCATCGATGGTCAATTCGAAGAGTCAACTCCAGTAGTGGTTGTGGAAGTTGAGGTGAATGTGGAGGCGAAGCGGCACGATGACACTAGCTATGATGGACAGCAAGTGGAACGTCGTAGTCGATATGGACTGGTCGCTCAATGGGCCGCTCTACAAGCTATCTCATGAAAGTTAGGGCGGAGCAGCAGAGCTGTCGTTGGTATCAGACACTGCCAGCGAGGTGTGGTCATCAATTCCATAACGCCGTGGATGACGTGGTTGTGCGCAATAGTTGGAGGCTGCGTATGCCAACTACGTGCAACCAAAACCTGATGCCCACACGTCCAACCAAAACCTGATGCCCACACGTCCAACTTGGTACGATGTCCAATGCGAGGTATGCTTATTTCCGTAGCAATATAAGTTTGTAGATGGGCCTGGAGCTGGCTCTTGTAAAGACATGAAAATCCAGGGCTTGATACGCTTCAAGCAGTGGGGCTTCATCAATGCATTGCGCGTGCTGCTGGGATAATGCTAATGGTTGACGAGATCACCTTGAGTGTGAATAACACTGCTCTAAAATATGCTGCTACTACGTTATGTTTATTATGCTCATAATAGCGATCACAATTACTTCAGTGGAAAACGAGTGCTTACCTTCATATTAGACTAAACCCTCCAGGCCAGTCTTCTTTATACCACGTGAATAAATCGTAGTGTGTAGCTATCGTACTTATACCATGTCAGTTATTCAATTCTTCGCGACAAGGCTGTTGGCTTAAGGTGCGTGTGGGTTTGTTGGACGGAAGAAGCGTGTACCAAAATTTGTCAAGCTATCGAGCGAGCAATTGTTCATAAATAGTTATCTTTTATAAATAATACAGTAGGCTAATGTATCAACTCAAAGAGGTCACATGTATAAAGTCTTTAAGAAAACCCAAATGACATACATTCTCTCTCTCACACACACACACACACTCTCCACGGATCATTGTAACACTATGACTATCATGAGTAAGATCAACACTCTGACAGATGCAGCCGTCGTTGTAAGCCCTTATCTAGCTGCTGTTGCTACAATGACCAAGGCAAAACTTCAGCTTCAGGCCTCTATTGTATCTACTCTGATTGAATGTGTCCCTAGCTGGAGCAACGTAGAGCCATACTCTGTTGACGTGGAACACTTGGGTGGTGCCATGACAAACCTCATCTTTGCTGTGCATAAACCCAACGGAAACGAACGTGACGTGCTTGTACGCGTGTACGGCGAAGGCACGGAATCATTTTTCTCACGTGTAGAAGAGACGCGATTGTTTCAACTGCTGAGTGATAAGAAAATTGGAGTGAAATTGCTTGGTCAGTTTGCTAATGGCCGAGTTGAGAAACTCATTTATGGCTCCACGTATACGAACAAGCGTATGCGACAGATGAATGAGTCTCGACTTATTGCCAAGCAACTACGTGTGTTTCATGAACTAAACATTGATATTGACCGAAGACCTACGTACATGACGAGTATCCGCAAGTTATTGGAGGTAGTACGTGTCAAATGCACCCATGAGAAATTTACAAACATTGTGGACTTGAAGCAATTAACTAAAGATGTGGATGAGCTTGAGGAGATTCTAGACCAAGTGCCGTCTCTTGTGGTGTTGAGTCATAATGACTTGCAATATGGCAACATCATGAAGAATGACGAGGGAGATGCAGTGCTCATTGACTTTGAGTATACGAGCTATAACCCGCGCGGGTATGACCTGGGTAACCACTTTTGTGAGTGGGCGTACGACTACCACAAGAAAGTGAACGCACATCTGGGAGATTTTAGCAAGTACCCGACGGAGGAAGAACAGCGCAACTTTTGTCGCGCATACTTGGCTGGGAAGGAAAGTGACGACAGTGACGTTAACGAGCATGAGATCAAAAAGCTGAGACTGGAAGCCAACACGTATTCGTTAGCATCTCACATGTTCTGGGCTCTCTGGGGTTACATCCAGGCCTCCCAGTCAGAGATTGACTTTGACTTTTTGGCCTACGGCAAGTGCCGCTACGATGCATTCAAGTCTCGTGTAACACTCAAGAACTAAATTGATGTGCAGACCAGCAACGACGAATGTATTGGCATGTTCCCATGATGCCTTTTTTTAGCAGGTTTCAGTGTTGGCAGACAATCAGCAAGCATAGAAGTAAGCTGGATTCCAACGTAATGAATGAAGATAGCGTATTAGCATCTACAAGAATAATGTATTAAGTAGATCTTGAGACGTTGTAACGGCTGTGCTACTACAGGTATAACCTAGCGCATCAACAGGTTTATAAGGGACTACAAGCTTGCTCCATGCCTGACGTCTGCTGTTTTCTGTAGATGATGGACGACCTCATGATGATCTACAATATATGCATAAATACCGACCAGAATGCTGCGGTGTTGTCATCGACCAAACAACGCCTCTTAACAAGATGAATTGCACTCGAAAGCTCGGCGGTCAGCACTTTCAGCAATAGCTTAGGTCATATTTGAGCCTCCTGACAACTATTGCTAGTGATCATGTAACCTGCCTGGAATGTATCAACTTTACAAAGACGTGGCTCCTTTCGTGCGTGTATCGCAATTCGGTCGTGCAGAGCGATGGTTTTCTCATCCCACGCCACGTTGGGCGTCGCGCAAAGCGACTAGCCTGATGCTGGAGGCCGATGCGCTAGGCTTTCTCGCAGCTACGAATAGCCAAAAAACTATTTAACATCCTTTCAAATGCAGAGAAATCGGTTGTCAAGAGTGTTCAAGCTGCTTACAATCTGTGTGGAAGCAAAGCGGATTTGGGATTGCCTACTCTTGTTCTTCTTACTGTGTCTCATTTGGTATCAGAGCGTAGAACTACCGAGAAGAAGTGGTGCTCTGGTCAATTGGAAGTAAATCGCCGACACTTGAGTTTCGAGTCCGAAACTGCTAGCACGTCAGGATTCACAAAGAACATTGCAGTGGATAACGACAAGCCTTGGTGAAGACGCATCGCTGTTTGCCAATCTACTCGGAATCCAGAGAACTGATCATGTTAATGACACCAGTACTGTAATCGCTCTGAAGATCAGCACCGATACAGACATTAGCCGATCCATGACGAGAATGTAAGCGGTACGGCTGCTCGGATCTAGTGCACGCAACGGAAGATCTAACAAGATAAAAGACGGTCTGACGGGAAAGATTGATTGTCTCCAATTGTTCTGGTCTGATGCATGAAAATCTGGTCGCCATGGAGGATGGACATTATCTAACTCACTGAATCCGGGATTCCATCCTGTGCCACGCTGCCTCCTCACTTTCCATTTTGCTCCAAGCTCATCGTGTCAAGTATCAAGATAGTCACCATGTCAAGGGCAGTCCGATTTTCCTGCGCGCTGGTTATGATCGCGCTCGTCATTTGCTCATCTCCAACCGTGGCAACCCCCAAGTCAACTTCTGCGGGTGTCGCGTTGAATACGCTGCATTCGTCTCATGCCCCGGCCGTGATGAAGCGGCGCTTGAGGAGTACCATGGCCATGGAGACGACTGAAACTTCTGAAGAAAGAGCCTCTACCTTTCGTATTCCAGAAGTGGCTTCCAGCTTCTCCAGCCTGAAGCCCACTTCTGCGGCGATTTACGAGAAACTTCAACGTTGGGTGTGGCGACTGACGCGGCAAACGCCGGATAACGTGTTTAAGCTTTTGAAGCTCGACAAAATCGACAAACCCAACAAGATCAGCACAGAAGGAGCCAAACTGTTTGAAAACTCACGCTTTAAGAAGTGGGTCAATTTTGTCGATGCAAAATTCTCGAAAGATCCCAAGGCGAAAGTTGAGGCAATCTTTGCGATTCTGGTAGCTCATTACGGTGACGGTGCTGCATTGGCTAGGCTTCTCGATTTTGGAAAGTTGCACAGAGGTGATAAACCCATCGCTGATCTCGCTGCAGCCCTGCAAGTGGCGCAGCTCAAACATTGGAATAAGAACGAGAAAACGGTGGAAAACGTCTTAGAGATTTTGGAGCTGCATAAGACACAAGGCAATCCTCTTCTAGATCCACTCTTTTCGCAGTTGTCCGCTTATGTCGAGCTTAAACACCCAAACGACCCCGCAGCGGCAACTAAGGCAATGTCGACGGCTTTTCGAGAATTTTACAAGGACGACACTGCTTGGGCCAAATTTCTAGTTGATGGAACGAAGAGAGACAGTGTGAATATCATCGCCTACGATTTGCTACAGTCGCAGCTCTCACTGTGGGAGGAAGGAGAGAAAACGCTTTTTACGCATTTGGGGCTGGATCAGATTAAAGAAGGACTGTTTGAAAACCCACTATTCAAGCAGTGGGTCGCCATCGTCGAGGAGATACACTGGGAAACTCCTAAAACGGCAAGTGATGTAATCTTGTCAACTCTGGCAGCTCATTTCGGTGAAAAAGCTGCATGGGCTGATATTCTCGTTGCTGGAACAAAGGTTCCCCGTACGGAATATCTAGCCTTAAAGCTGATGACGAGACAAATCGTGAGGTGGCGTGACATTGAAAAAAAAGTGTGGACGAGGTTTTTACGCTTTTGAAACTGGAAAACGGACTGTTTGAAAGCCCACGAATGTTGCTGTGGCTGAATTATGTCGAGAGGTATTTCATAGAGGAGCAAAAAGCTATGTACTCTAGGTCGCGTACAGCGCAACTTGTAGGTATTTTTTCTAGATTGGGGTATGACAAGGCTATAAAGGCGGCTGAAAAAGCTGATGCGGTGGCTGAAGAGGCTAAGAAAGCGGCTGATGAGGCGGCTGAAGAAGCTAATGCGGCGGCCATCGAGGCTAAGAAAGAGGCTGATGCGGTGGCTGAAGAGGCTAAGAAAGCGGCTGATGCGGCGGCTAGGAAGGCTGAGGAGGCTGAGAATGCTGTTAAGAAGGCTGAGATGGCGCCTTATGAGGCAATGTTATCAACCTTACGTCGCCATTCCAAAAACGATATTGCATTAAGCAATAGTCTTGCTATGGGTATGGAGGTTGACTATTGGAAGGTGAGACAAACTGCTAAGGAACTGCAAAAGATGCTTGATTCGAGCCGACCACAGGAAGATCTTAGCAAGGTTTCCGCACCTGGAGCTGAATTAGACAGCAATTTCGATGTTCATGGTTAGCAGCTGGACTTTACATAACTCTGCTTGGAAAAGGCAATTCGGACGTCATAAGATGCTCAAGACCATGTAAGCATTTTGCGAAATGAACTAAGCGTTCTGTAGCAAACCTCTTGCCAGTACTATAGTCTGCCTCCCTCTCAATGCATGAACCCACTACTGATGTCGTTCTCTTTTACAAGCATCAATCTTGATCTTGGACTCAACCTTCAGGTCAGTCTGCGCATTTACCACTTGGTCGAATAGTGCGCCAGTTCAGATTAGCGTGCAGCCATCGTTCCTTATCCATAGTAGTTTCTTGATACTTGGTGACTTGTTTCATTGCAGAAAATTTGCAGGTGAAAGCAACGCACGCTGACTGCTACGAGTCCTAACGTTCAGGTGCATTTCGACGCTATTTGCTGCCTCTACTTCTTGTCACTAGTCACAAGCGCTCCGGGCGATCTTTGCCATATCGGAGACCATCAAGTCATAGAACCTAGAGGTGTCACTACCTTCATGCACACTCGAGTCCACGCGCAACACTGGAAGGTGAACGGTCTCCTTGCACTGGACCAGCCGCTCAATATTATGGCAAACAGCTACACCTCCCATCCTCAGCGTACATACGGCTCTTCATAGTCCAACCGTAGATCTTCCTTCACTGGTCCTCCTAGCAATTCCTTACGCATGCAGCCACGCAAATCATCTGTTCCATGGAGTCCACACTCGAGATAAGCTCTGTCACGGGGTGTTCCACCTGAAAACGCCGAGTTCATCTCTACGAAATACAAGCTCTTGCGTCTACCACGCAAACCTCACTATGTCGGCACTTACACGGCCCTTTTCGGGCCAATATCACCATTTGCTAGCTACTCTCGTCTCCAGGCCCAGAAGCACACTCGGAGCTTCTCAGTCACGTTTGGTTTCCGACATCAAATTGAGCATTCTCTCTCAGACAGCGGCATGATGTTTCCGTGTGAATCTGCGAGAAGATCAATTTGTCGTGGGTCTTCAATACTTCCTCGAAATAACATGATATCGACTCCAAGCTGCTAGCTGCCTCTTCCTTCGATTATACACCTCCTCGTCATTATACACAACTCTCATCTCTGTATCTCTTCCTCCAGCACCAGCCTTGACCATAATTGGATACTCTATTTCCTGAACTCCTCGGACATGTCAATCTCCTCCAAGAAGCCGGGGGTGGTGTTGATCCCCGCGCCCATTGACCAGTTGTTTGACTCAATGTTGCCTCTTATGGCCTGAATGGCCTCATGAGCAAATGAACGTTACATCCAACAGTCTCCAAAGCTTCGTAGCCTGAATGCACATGAAGCCTTGATGACTTCCACGTTCGTGGAGATGCTGAAATTAGCTACAACTCGAAGGTGCTGGACCCACGTATACCGCCTGGTCTGCCATGTCGGCCATACAGTTCACATCGGGCCCCGAGCACACAGCCACCGTCGTGATGCCCACTGCAAGACGCGCGCGGCGATCTTACCGCGGTTAGCAACGAAGATCTTCTCACAAATTTCTAACACATTGTTTCAGGAGCTGAGCATCTTTGTTCAGACTCAACATTATCCACTGCATTTACACCACACAGCGTGATCCCATTCAAGTTACACTTGACCATCACTCAATCGATAACGCCGTACCATGTACGTCGTCCAAATGCCGGTGTGACGGCTCGATGTCAGGTGTGTAGCTAGCACATGTACGACTTGGTTGTCGAACCTTGTGCACCTTCAACTCTGGCATTAAAAGTAATTTATGCAGTATGATCCACGCTGCAGCAAATTCCGTCGCATTTTTTGCCTGCAGCCACGTATTGTAGCTTCAGATGTAACGGGCTAAAAGTTACTCGGTACGTTAAGTATCGAATACTTAACGGGCAGGCCTAAAACGGTACGAGGTACCTTAGGCCTGCCACTTGGGTGTGGCACATCAATGTGATCTACCCTCGTGAAGGTGATATCCATGAATGGATTCACATTCAACGAGGATGTTGCCAGTTGGGACTGAGCGTCATGGTGACGCTTCAGACACACGTCATCAGCGAGCTTAAATATATTTCAAGCTCGCACGTAAGAATACGCTTCTAAGGTGGCGCGTATCCAATCTTTGCATAATTAGCCCATCTGTAGTTAAACTTATACATTTAGTTAAAATCTATTAAATATAAGTCAGTCTTGAATATACTAACTATCGCCCACTGCGCACGAGAAGCTTAATAAGCTTCGGCGTGACGTAAGTGAAGTACTCCTTAGTTATTCGTTGCGCGGACCGCTCTAAGCGTCTGGCAACGGTTGGCACTGCGCTTTGAGTGCCGCTTACACCACCACCACCGCACGTGGAGGTGAGACGGTCTAACCGCTTCCTCACGCTGCTTGAAGGTGTGTGTCCGCGTAGTACGTGACAGCTTCTATTCGAAGCGCCCGTCTGCAATAAGGCCCTATGTTCCGACCGAGGATACAACTTAAGTGACAAAGAACTAGTGTTATCAGAAACCTTTTGGTAATGTACCCTTACGTCAGCATGCCGTCACTTTAAAAAAACGTGCAATGATAATACTGAAGAGGCAACTGCAACAACTTAATGCCATGCTGATGGATGCTGGTGAGGTGTAGGAATGTAATATTCCTATAGTAAGACATAATTCGATCACAACTAGTTTTCGCTCGCCGAGTCTTTGGTCGATGAGTCTTCACTAATCGAGTCCTGGGTCGTCGAGTCGTTGCTCGTCGAGTCTTCGTTCGTCGAGTCCGGTAGATAATCGATCGTCCTTGTAACTAGATAAGTGTATAGGAGAGACAGTGAAATAGCGGAGAGCCACTCAATAGGCTCTCCGGAGTAGAAAAGAGATATATCAATAGTGAGCAGAGTATTACAAGACAAGTATACGTTTACGTCTACCGTGGGCCTGGATTATGCCTGCCGTCTAATTCCGAGAGGCATATCATGTAGGAGTTTCGACCGCTGGTAACGCCAAGAGTATAAGTCGGCCTGGGTGGTTCATTGCTTGCGTATTAGCAAAAGAGAGTCTCGTCAATCGACGGGCCGGTGGGCCTCAGCCGAGGGCAACGTAACCCTTCTAGTCGGGCGTAAAGTGCACCCGGTGACCTGTAAAAGCGCGAGAGTGCCGGCGTCCCCCATTGGTGTGAGGTCACAGAATATGAGAGAACAGAAGCTGCTGAGCTCAGGCAGGCTTTTCGAGAAAAATGTAGGCTTTCAGCTATGGTGTAAACGATCACTGTTAAGAAGTTGCCTTGTGCTACTAGCACACACCTTCAGCACAAGCGAGGAAGCGGTTAGACCGTCTTACCTTCGCGTGCGAGGGTGGTTAGGAGGTTGGTCGACTTCTTAAGCAGTCGTACCACCAGTTGCCTCTCGCTTAAGCGAGAGTGCAACGAACTTCTAAAACAAGAAGTCATCGACGTCACGTAGAAGCTTTTTCAGCTTCTCATGCGTGGTGCTTCGGTGTTAGCAAATTCAAGACTGATTTATATTTATAGAATTTAACTAAATATAAATCTAACTACTGATTGGTTAAGATGTAATGATGGGTGCCATCTCTATAGATGCGCATCCCAACGTGCGAGCTTAAATATATTTAAGCTCGCTCAATGACGTAACTGACTGACGTCATTCGATGACGCCTAGTCCCAGCTGGGCGTCATCCCCATCAATGTGAATACACCTAGTGTATATCACATACGCAAGGGTGTGACACATGGTGTCTCACCCGAGCGACAGGTCTTAAGTGCTTACGTACCTTTTTAGACCTGCCCGTTAAGTATCGAATACTTAACGGGTACGTGTAGCGTTGAGCCCGTTACATAGGTCAAAAGTCGCAACTGAACTCGAAGGGGCGAACCACGAAGGGATCTGTTCCTAACGTATTAGCTCAATTTCGCCGGCTTACTCGGCGAATTGTAGTTTTCATATTATTAGTCATGCCAATAACCGTTTCTAAAAATCACTATATCACAACTGGTGCTAGTGAAGATCACAAGCAGTCGAGTTACGAAAGCATTATGTAAATGTTAGAAAGGATCGTGTGTGGTTGTTCAGATCGTCTATTTACATGGTGTTAACTATGTGCAAGATCTCTGGAAAGTCCTGAGCCAGGATGTCAACGCCGGTTGGCCCGACTGTAAATCATGGCTGGTCACCGTTGAAAGCGGTGGCCCTCTAGGTTCGCGCTCGAGCAACTCGATGCATGCATATAGCAAAGCACCCGTTGTGGCGGACGCAACTTTTTGATGCTCTCTCTTCGCGATCGCTCGGAGCTGACAAAGGCACGAAGCCCAAAAACTGGCTATGCTGCTGGGAAGGTGGAGCGGGACTGCCTTGTAGACAGCGGCATTTCTGTCGACCCATAGCCGTGTGTGACATATCGTTGCCAAGACGTGCCAAATTCGCGTCCAGACACGTTCGGCTGCATCCGTGTCATCCTGAAATCGGTCCGCTAGACTTTGCATACGGTGCTCGGGTATGCTGTGAACCCTTCGGCTTGCACAGGCCACCACAAAGTGTTTGGTCGCTTGGCGGGTAACTTGGTGCCCAGTCCAGTGACCAATAAGTTTGCCCCATAGCGCTGCAGCGCAGGCACAGTCCCAAAACAGATGACCAATGGTCTCCTCACTGCCGCTGCAGGCCGGTGCCTTTCTGCAACTATTATTTTCGTACCTCGTAGCGTGATACAGATTTAATTGTCTGGTCGCCACCCTGTACCCTGTCCAGACTTGATACGGTGTGAGTCCATTACTATGATCCCACACTTGCCTCGGCGTTTGCCGGAGCGCTGCGCATTGCCATTCATCCGTCGTTGCAGATTTGGACAGTCGATCAATGAGAACGGAAAGTTGGCGAGCGAGAACCTTTTTATGGAACCGGAAAGCTTGCTTGCCTAAGGCCTTTGTAACGAAGTGATTAGACGTTGTAGTCGGCACAGACCAAGGAAACCGATGCAGCTGCGGGTGCGCTTCGAATACCAGACCCCAAGTTCTAATCTC